GTGTGTGTCAATATGGATGCTGAGGCTGGTGCGAAGACGCATGAGTCCATGAGCGTTTTGAGATGAGTTGAGTCGAGGACCGTTTGTAACTTACAACTTGCTCCTGCTGTGCTGCTATGCGCTTGTTTTAGTGTTCGGCCTGGGAGAGGAGGCACAAGTCCAGAAGGAAGTTCGCTTGGAGCTGAGGCAAGCTCAGTATACTAATTTCAGTCGACTGCCTCCATGTGTTTGAGCAACAGCGCAAGCCATCAAAAGCCTGATTTGCAATGATTTGCACTGAGGTTGCCAAAATTGTGAGGGCTGCAGGATGTTGAACCTCTCAACCGACTGTTTGCCTGAAACGCGGATTGAAAAGGATTACTTGCATCTTTGCAACGTGTAGTCGCAGCATCAGTTTGCCCATAGATGAATGCATGGGATTGCAAGACTCGCAGTGATCAATGGCAATTGCCTTTGCAACTTCAATCATCACTGAGGCAGCTGGCTGCATTCGATTGAGGATGCAGAAAGAGACGCAGCTGGAGACTGGAGACAGCAGGTGGTGCAAGGTGCACATGTAGCAATTTAGTACTCAAATGTACTCAATATCAGCGAAGGCAAGCATTTCACGGACCTCGGGACGTATCACACACAAGCAAGGCAAGCTGTGCCTCATGTCCGCACGCCATGCACACTTGATGTTTGTTGGTCCTAGCTTGCCATTGCACGCGAGGCCGCCTCCACGTTAAGGTATGTTACAGTAATGTTTGACAATGTCTGACATCACGAAAGCTAGCACCAGCTAGCTGGAGTTGTCCTTGCTTTAGCAAGTGAGGGGCTGGAATCCTCGAGATCGCCGCATCACGTGAAAACTTCATATGTATATAGGGGGGGGCCCCCCCCCTCCGTGGGTTCAACTCTGCCCTGGGACACCTCTTGGGCACCTCTTATGGCATCCACTTTGGTTTAACTCCTCCGTGGAGATTTTGGGATACGGTGCAACAGATTCAACAAGCTCACAGGTTCGTGAACACATCGGATGCATCGAACAGTGTGGCAAAGTCCAGCCACGCTTCCTTAATTATCGGGGACTTCAATTCTAAGGTTGGCTGTGTCATTGCTGTTTGTGTGTCTTACATGTTCAAAACGTTTTACCTCATGAGCATTTGCCTCACTCCGCTTGATGTCCCACCAGTCCGGATGCACCCCTGCTAGCTTTCGTCACCTACCCTCGGCCTCAAGTATACACTCCCCGAAATAATGGAAGTGGACAATGGCCCCTTTGGATGACCATTTTTCTCTACAAACAGGTGGTTTTGCACTTCCACTATTATGTTCACAATGTGTATGTTAATATATCAAGTTTGCTTCTGTTGTTACTTGAGCATGAGCCTGCAAGACAACAGAAGGTCGAGTGCATGAAGACTCTTCAACTCCGACAAATCGATTGCAGCAAGTAAGGAGAGCCGAGGAGGTGAAACTTCCGAAGCGCATTGGTTGGTCTTTCGGTATTTAGCTGGCACTTGACAAATCAAGTGACTGATTCATCACACTATTTTCCCGGAAAGCCAACTTGTTTGCCTAGTGATGCCTAGTGCTTGAAAGGAGCAAGCACAATCTAAATACAAAGTGACAGATTACAAATGCACAAACACTGTTTGTTTCAGTCGCTCATGGGACATCAGGACGAACACAATCTATACAAAGCCCATCAAAACCACCATTTGGGGCCATTTGCCAGTCAGCTATGGGGTCTGTAATATCCACAAGATAAGATGTTTAATTTTTATTTGTTGTGACACTGAGGGAACCAGAATCAAATCTTTGTGGTGGACTTTCAGGCCACTTCGCGTGCCAGACTCGAGAAATGAGTTCATCATGTCGACAAAATTTCTGGCCTTTGGTCGTTGGTGTTTTTGTCTGTTGAAAACAGAGTGCGGTTGCCACAGCATCGGTGAAGGGTGCAACATTAGTAGTTTGCGTATGATTGCCTCACCTATAGCATTTTGCGGCATTCGCAAATATTCATGAATGACATGGTTTGCCTGCAGCTTTCGTTGAGCAGTGTCAGTAGCGGTGTCATTTGCTGACATTTTCAGCTCAAAGCTCGATATTGAACATAAGCCAAGCCGCCATACAATCCCATGTGGCGGCTACTTCTCCTGCCAGGTTTGTCATTTGCCTTACAGGTTCATGACGCAAGCGGAGCACCAGAATGCTCTCGGCATCCGCCTGGGAAACACGTTGTCAAATTGCCAGAAGTGCAGAGGCAATTTCTTTTGGTTGTGCCACAGGAGTACACACCAGTGCAAGCTTCTGGCATACCCTTGGTGTTAGTGTTTCATGGTTTTGGAGATTCACCGTGGTACTCCAACCTGCTGATGGACTTCAATCAACATATTGATCGATACGGCTGGTTGGGAATTCTCCCCTTTGGCCTCAACGAGACTGGAACGAATGGCTTGAGTGGAGAAGGTGCCTGCTGTTCATCAGAGTGCCAGGGCGAGTGCTGCACGAAAGCCCAAGCCTTGAACAAAAAGGATTCAACAGCGTGTGGCTGGAGAGATCCTGAACGTGACACGAAGTTTGTCGAGGCCATACTAAAGTGGGCGGTTCAAAATTCCTGTGCTGATCCTGACAAGGTCTTTGCAGCCGGTTTCAGCATGGGCGGCATGTTTGTCAACTATTTGGCATGTCATGCCAGCCACCTCATCCGGGGCTTTGCCCCTGTTTCTGGCAATGTTCTCCCAATAGGCTGCCAGATTTCAAGACCAATCTCTTACATAGGCATGTGCGGAAGCCAGGATACGATTGCACACTGCCAAGATACGTTGGAGATCACAGCATCTAGCTTGTCTAAGATGAATCGCTGTTCTGGTGCAGGACCAGACGGCGCTGCCATCACATTCGCGAGATCTGCCACAACATCTTGCAAAGCTTGGGATGTTTGCCCTAAGCACAACTTTGTGGAGCTTTGCATGACAGAAGGGCTTGCACATGATGTCAGCGGACATTTACGACCAGATGATACAAGCTGGATACGGCCTGGAAGTGATTTGGACATTACAGAATACTTTTTTCAGAAGTTCTCGCTGCTTGTGAACGGCAGCATGCTGTTTTGGGGTAAACCTACGGCAAAGGAAATTGACTACAAGTATTCGAGATGGCCTTACCCAAAACAATATGATCATCCTTACATCCGCGCCTGGGACAGTAAGCACAATGTTTGATTTTTTTGTGCATGCAGAATGTGTTTTCCTTCATATTTTGCTTTTCCTCATAACTAACGTGCAGTTTTGGTTTAACTGTAACTCTTGGAAAGCGGTCAGTGTTGTCGGGTGATTTCACCATGCAAGGCAATGGCTCCGTGGGCCACTAGACCTTGAATGCAGATAAAAGCAGAAAAACAGAGCCATTCTTTGCGATTGAACAAGATTTACATAGTCAGCTTTTAATCTCTCAAGTGTTTCTCCAAGGATTGTAGGGGCTTGATGCACAGAACGTTGAACCAATTCGCCTTTTCTCCTTATTTTTTTTGGGGGCGTATTGTTCCGCTTGTTTTCCTTTTTATCAAATTGTGTGGCTTGTGTGACTTTTGGTTTGTGTGGCTTTTCTGACGTCAATTGCTTTTTTGTTGCAATCGTTGTTTTTTTGAATTTGTCTTCTTTATTGCTCTGCTACTTTTGGCTTTTGTGGCTTTGGGGGCTTTGGGGGCTTTGGCTTCGGTTGGCTTGGCTGCTAAATTTCTATCGCAGGTTGTCCCAGTTGTTTGCTTTGATCATTGTTCTTTGTCTTCACCATTCCAGTCAAAACGCTTGGCTAAGCTCTTACCAGCTTGGCGGTGTGTTGCTTATGGTCCCCTGGCTGAGTCTTTGTGGATGTTGTTTGCAGACGAAGACCTTGAACCATTTGTGGTTTTGGAAGAATGCGTTGAGCCATCCGTTGCGTGTACCTTCTATGGGGGCCCCAACGTGGAAGGTTTTGCGTGCGAAGACATTGACCGCAGAATGCATAGGAGGAACCATGATACAGTATTATATAGTATGTACTATACATAAATGTCACAGCCCCATGAGCAGCAACCTAGCAAGGGCAACAATTATCCCGGCAAGAGACCCCAAACAGTGTGTCTAAAGGTCTACGGTCTGGAGGTATAGAAGCAGAAGTTCTAAGAGATCTATAGACGCATTGGGTTCCAGAGAGAGGCGAATGATGGTAGTGGTGATGGAGAGAGCTGTCTAGAGATCTAGGGGTGGAGGCCTGAGTCTGGAGAGCACATATGGTTGTGGCCAGAAACGTGAGGCTTGGACCGCACACCCAGGCCTACACACATGATCCATACCTCGACCCGTAGGGTATGGATCAAAAGCTGGGTGCATGATCCAAGACATGGTTTGGTTGTTGAGTGGTTGGAGGAGGGCCCATCCCTCAGAGGTGATCCATGAAAACAAACAATATCAATAACAATAGTAACAAGAAGAAGACACGGAGAAGACAGAGCGAAGCAGCAGCAAAAAGAGAAAAGGAAACAGACAAAGAGAAAGACACTTTTAATAAGCAAGCCGGAGAAAGAAAAAACACAGAGCAGGAAAAAACAGAAGAAGAAAAAGACAAACAAAGGACGCTGGCGTTGCATGGGTTCTGAGATGAGTCGCTTCCGACGCTTCCGCTATTTTGTATTCGCTCTTTGCATTGCTCCCTCTTTGAGTGGACTCGCTTTAAAGGACCACCCCTTCCCAATAGGCCAATTGGCCCAATGGACAAGACAAGGCTGCAACTTCTTGCTGGCTCAAGTCTTTTCGAGGGCAACGGGACAGCCGATGAAGCAGCTACTCACTTTCCTTGGTTTTTGGACTGCTGCTTCCTGTGCCCTGAGACCCGAAACCAGCCATTAGCAACATGCGCCCCAAAAGAAACGATTTTCCACACCCAACCACATGAGTGATGGCCCACGGCACCGTTTCAAAAAGAGACAATTGGGCCCGGAAGGCGCTTTAAGATCTTAAAGTGTTGATGTGATAAAGTCAACCAGTCAACCTGCTTAGCATTGAGCCTCTCGGTTTGTGACCATGTCCACTTCCAGCAAACAAGCGGGGTTGCAAAAGTGGCCAGCTGGCGCGCAGTTTCAACTCACCAGAACCCACCAAGTGGAAAAAAACATGATTACAAAAACATGTGTGAAAACCATTAATTAAAGTATTAAAGTCAAGTTCCACCTGCCTGTCGACTCTTTGGTATGGCCATGCCCACACACTAAAGGACACGAAAGGACATGTAAAAACACGCGCACATGAGAGCCACAAAATCTGCACTTCAAGGTCCTTATTGCGCCTGCTCCTTGGTGTGGGGGGCCGACATGTTGATGAAGTCGAGCGTCTTCTTCTTCACCTTGAGTGGCACGAAATCTGATCCACAAAGTGCTGCGCCTGCCAAAAAATCTGCCCTTCAAGGTCCACAAACTACCGCCCCACGAAATCTGCACCACAAGGTCCACAAAGTCTCACAAAACCTGCGCTAGGTTCACAAAGTGCATCAAAGTGCTGCGCCCGCCACAAAATCTGACTTTGCATTTTCACATCAAGATTCACATCGTGCAGTCCTGCCAAGGCGATTCGCAGCAAGAGCGCTTCCAAAGACAACATCATGCAAGACGCCAAAACGCAGGTTCCGCTCGAGGTTGATCCAATTTCTGAAAACAAGCCACGTGTCCAAAAGTCACGACGGTGAGCACGCCAAACACCACCACCATGTCCAAAGTGCTGCGCCTGCACGAAATCTGTACATCGACGAAAAGCCAACTTTGGACCACCAAAGCGCGAGGTCCACGAAAAGTAACCACCACGCCCGAGAGTGCGCATGGCACCGGAACGAGAGCGCAGTCTCGAAGAGCACCCGCCGGTACCCGCGCCAGCCCACCAGATTCTGCGAGCCTGCGCTGGCGAAATTCATTTGGAAGATCTCGAGGTGAATGCATGCATTGTAAATAGCAGCGAGATAGCTGGACACGGACGCGAGCACCTTGATCAGAAACCCGGCCTCAACAGCTACTGTAAATATTCTAGTGTGGGCCCCGTGTGGGCACACTATTTGGAGAAAAACTAACGAAATTGGCTTTGCAGGCTTGTCGCTATGGTTTCGCTTACAACTGGACCTGTGCGCCAGCAACCCAGAGTGTTTTCCTGCGGCTTTGTGACATGCATTGTTTCTCGTCACACCTGTGGCCGAGTTTGCCCACCGGCATAAGATTTATTGGGGCGCCTGTGACTTGACGAGCCAGCCTAAACATCGTGCCCGGGCCTGCCAACTCAAACCTGTTATAGTTGTATCATATTGTATCATGTTGTATCCTCGTGATGGTTTTCCATTCTCGTTTTTTACTTCGCGGAGCTTTGTCCTGACCCATGAAATTGCCGATTCGCAGCGACAACAAATTTCAATCTCCACTCTTCGCTTTGTCGGTTCTTTTCGAGTGTGCTCCTGCCGGTTCCTTTCAGTATGACAACCAACTTGTTTTGGTGTTTGCAAAAAAAAGCGAGTGACTGCCGAAACATTGCTGCTCAAGATTAGATACTGAACCCCGTTGATCAAAATGTTTAACCACCCAAGATGCCGGTGGCCACGAAACCCAATGTGGCTGCTTCCTTTTGCAGCCTTGGCATCTGCTTTGCAGGTTCATGATGTGTACCAAGCTCCAGAATGCTCTCGACATCCGCCTGGAAAGCATGTCATCAAACTGCCAGATGTGCAGCGGCAATTTCTTTTGGTGGTGCCAGAGGAGTATGCACCCGTGCAGGCTTCTGGCATTCCATTGGTTTTAGCTTTTCATGGCTTCTCAGACTCGCCGTGGTACCTAGACTTGCATATGGAATTCTCCAAGCAAATCAATCGATACGGCTGGTTAGGAATTCTGCCTTTTGGCTTGAATGAAAGTGGAACCAATGGTTTGGATGGAGTTGGCGCCTGTTGCCCGGAAGATTGTCAGGGGGAGTGCTGTGCCAACACGCCTCAACTGCGGCAAAAAGACTCGACTGCTTGTGGCTGGAAGGACAATCAAAGAGACATGAAGTTCGTGGAAGCTATATTGAAGTGGACTTCCCAAAACTCTTGCATTGATCCGAGCAAGGTATTTGCCGCCGGCTTTAGCAATGGAGCAGTCTTTGTCAACTACTTAGCATGTCACGCAAACCATTTCATACGAGGCTTTGCCCCGATATCGGGGGACATTCCTCAGCTGGACTGCCACATTTCCAACCCGATCTCCTACATCAGCATGTGCGGGACGCAGGACGACGAAGCATTCTGCCAACATACAATCCAGATGAGCGCAGAGCTTTTAAGCGCACTGAATCATTGCTCCGGTGCGGGACCAGACGGCACTGCGGTGACATACAAGAAGTCTGCGACGACATCTTGCAAAGCTTGGGATGCTTGTCCGAAGGACAACTTTGTGGAAGTGTGCCAGACAGAAGGGCTTGCGCATGATGTGAGTGGCCACTTGCGCCCGGACAACACCAGCTACCTTCGACCCGGCAGCGACTTAGACATCACGGAATACATCTTCCAGAAATTCTCACAGCTGGTGAATGGCAGCATGCTATTTTGGGGTGAGCCCATAGCCGAGCAGCTCCGCTACAAGGAGTCCAAGTGGCCACCTCCGACACATGAGGACCATCCATATCTACGTACCGCCCCGTGAAGGCCAAAGAAGGAAACTAAGGAAACTAGGTCATACTGAAGTGAAGCAGACGACAAAAGGAGTTCATTTGCTTTGCCCATCTCCAAGATAGAAATAAATTACTGCATCACTGCATCATATTGTGTCATACAATATATTCATCCATGCTCTCTGTCCATTGTCATGTCAACTCTCCATGCTTTAGCAGTGAAGGTGAGCAAAATTGCCATTGCTATGGCATTTGCAGTACGCATTTCACATGTGTTTGATGTCAGGTGGAAGCTGGAACACAGCTAGTGGCTAGTAGTTCTTGCCAATATTACCTTCAACCCTTTGGTTACTTTAAGCATTTTTAAGCTAATCGTTACGAATGTATCACAGTGTATGAATATGTATGACACACGATTTCTTGGACACGCTGCCTTTGTCACCCTCAGCAGGATGAACAAGAGGGACACATACAGCAAAACCAGGACGGTCAGAAGTCAGAAGCTTAGGGCTTAGTACAGGCTTTCTTTTCCCCAATGTCCTGTATGTAATAACAACCATTTTGCTTGGGCTACATCGAAAGAAGTGAACCAACCTTGGAATGTAAACAAGCAAAGATGCCGCAGCATCACAGGCTGCACTGACATGTGCATATTGTTTGTTCGCAGCGACGGGCGACGCTGAATTTGTTTGCTTGGAACGCACTTACACAGGAAGAACCACAAGAAGAAGGGCACCCATCCAACCAATCAGATAGCAACCAAGTTTGGCGCGAAGTTTGGATCAGCACCCATTGGCCACCCGGATGTATCGGTGCTGACATGCGGTGCGGATCTGCTTCCTCCTCCTTCGCAGCATTGAGCTACCAGCTGGAGGAAGCCCGAACAAAGCAGCTGAAAGAGAGGCAGCTGACAGGGTTGTCATGAACATCCCCAACGTGTTTAAGTTGAAAACAGTGCTTTTTGTTTCAGCTCAATTGTGGTTCCCTGTTTGGTGGATACCACAGGGGTGTTTGTATGTTGCTCACGTGTCCAGGTTCAAGATGTAGAAACATGCTGGGAGTAGCACTGGCATGCCATTAACAAGCTTGCGCACATGCTTTATGGTTCGACCCATAGTCATACAGGGAGGAAGAACTATGACATTTATGACCCATTGTCATGTTCACATGATTTATGACTCATTGTCATGTTGCAATCGATCCTTGGCTCATAAATTGATGAATGACCCCTGTCCGTTTATGCTTTCCGTAGGTCTAAGCGAGCCTTGGAGCTCATGAAGGCTGCTGTGGAATGGAAGTCGTGGGACGAGCTCCAGACCTTGTCCAAGGCCTTCCAGGGCTATTTGGAGGAGACAGAAATGATTGGAAATGTAGCCCGTGGACCATGGTGTAGCCAGGCACAATATGAGTTCTCGGTAAATGTCACTTTGTAGATTCTAGATGCTTCAGGCAGCACGATCACCATAGACCGTCATTTGCGAAACAGGATGTGAAATCACATGCATCATGCAGTTTTTCCAAATTGAAGTATAAATAACATGACAATATGATACAATATGCATCCACAATTTGTGTCCGGAGAGTTTGACTGCTTGCAGGAGATCCGGGAGACAGATCTATGCCGCAAAACCGATTTGGAAACGAACCTAGGAACCAAATGAATAGTGCCAGCGCTTCTTCAAAGAAGCTCACCCCCTTCGCCTTTAGGACGGCGGGGAGGGCTTCCTTGAAGAAGCGTGAGCTATCACTGCGTCCGTTAGCTAGTTTGTTTAGCCCTTGCTGTACTTAATTAAGTAGGTGCCTACAGAATCAAGTAAGAGCCTAAAAGAACAACTGATTGATGCTTTGTGGTTCTGTGGGCGCTCTGAGGAGTATTTCTCGAGTCTGGGCTGCGAGAGGTCAGCTGGCAAAGGCAGATCGCCACAAGGATGAAGCCAAAATGCAGGTGCAAAAGCTGAAAAGAAAAGGAAGGATGAAGGACTTGGGCCCTTTAACCTGGTAAGGCAATCTTTCACTGTATCGCGCAGATGCTTGCAACCTACCTCACCAACCTTCAAAACTGTGCTCTCCGAGCAAACTCCAACTTCAGGTAGGTGTCCAGCATTGGCCATGGCTAAGAGGAGAAGCCTGGCAACACGCACCTTTTGGATGCTTGTTTCATCCCTCCCCATTGGCATCAACTGCATTTGTGTGTCCAAGTTTATTCACATTTGCTCCCAAGCGCAACCCCAGTCAGGCCAGCCGGTGGAACCTAAGAACATGTGCAAGCAGTTTCGATCCACCTTCGCCTCTCGATCCAAATTTTCGGCAACCCTACTAGTTTGGCCCGTCGGAAGAGGCAATGCCAATCATCTTCCCCACAGCCCTCTTGCACCATAAAGGTGTTCAGTTTTGCGCACCCCCCTCACAAAAGTAAGGGGTTGACAGATCTTGTTGAGTTTTGTTGAGCCTTGTTGGGGAGCAGTGCTGATGGACGTCTAGCTGAGTCTAGCCTAGCTTCACTCTTCGCAGGCAGAGCTCATTCATGCAAGCAATGTGGACTTGCGACATCAGCTCGAATTTGATGCGCGCCAGTTTGTTGCACTGCTTCAGAGGCTTGGCTGAAGACATGAGAGTACCAGGCATGACGTGCATGACATGATGGGAGGTCTACTGCTCGTGCCTTTTGGCCAAGTCACCAAGACCATGATTCCCTCACCCACGCACTTTCAGCTGTTTTGCAGCGGTGGTGTTCTTGCACAAAGTGAGAATAGCTCGTGGCTGTGGTTGGCTGTGCATGTATGAATGCAATTTTGTGACTTTTGGTGTCCCAAGTTCATAATCAAAGGAGCTGCGCACATTTGGAGAGACAGTTGGCTACCTTACGGCAACTTGAGCAGCACTGATCTTGTCAGGATGCACTCTTGTTGCATTTGTGAATTTGTGATCAATTTCCAAGATTTGAGGCAGAAATGCATCGAGGAAGCTGATCAAACACCTCCGAAAGCAGAGTCCCACGACGCCACCGGCTGTACTTCCAGGAGTGCTCCCCAGCGTGGAGCGTTTCCCGCTGAGCCCGTGACATGTGCGACACACGTGCAGCTGACACTTGGACCACGAGACGTGTGTGGAAAAGTCATGCTGAGCAAGGACCGTTGTAGTAGCAACTTTGCCGAAGCGGTTTCAAGCCCTGCTGCTGGACCAAGCCAAAGTGAAGGCATCGCCCAGGTAAGTGCCGAAGCTGAGCAAGCAGCAACAGAAGAAGCAGCAGCAACTGTGTTTGCAGCTGTGGCTGCTGCAGAGACGGCTATCGATGAGGAAGAGCAGAGCCCTGCTGGAATGCAACCCTCTGAAGCGTCCACAGCATTGGAGCTATCACCAGAGCTTTGGCAAGTAAAGAAAGGGACCTGAAGCGGCTTTTGCCATGGTGTGCATATTTTATGGCTGCACCTTAAATGGATTTAAATGGTTTCCACCCCAAATGTCCTTGACCTCAAGGATATGGATGCAATGGCACCATTGAAGCTTGTTATGTTTGATCGAAATTGCGTGGCCCCAAGCCAAGGAGCAAAAGAATCCTCCGAGCCGCGAGGATAGCAATGGGCGGAAGGAGGCCCTTCTGGTCTTGTCCGCCCTCGCAGATTTGAAGAAGAAGCTCATGCCTCAGCTGCCTTGTGCACTCATGTATCCAGAAGACTTGACAATCATGGGCCATGATAGCTTCGACCTGAGTCTGGGTGCATACGTCAAAGATGCTGGCGTTTGTTTGTGGTCTGAGATCGTTGTGCGAGGTTGCAACTTTGCTCGGCAGCCAGGGTTGGGTGCCCAGTTGGCAAGGGTCCACTGTGAATATTCCATATAGGTTTTGAGTGGGGTAATGTATTGCTTTTGTCAACATAAGAATTGGATTGTGGTTTGTAAATCGGAGGTGCACAAACCAAACGCCCAGTGCATGTATAATTATGCATCAATGATCATCAATGTTTGAACATGTTTAACGCATTCATTTTTTGCAGTGGCAGTTACCACAATTTCCTGAATTGAAGGTGTTGCATTCATAGCGTGAGGATGCTCCAAACCCTGACAAACGACTCAACAAAACAATACGCTGGGGACCCTACAAGAAAGTTGGCAAACGATAGGTGGGCTCATAAGCTTTACTACGATGAAGTAGCGGCATATAATAAGAAAATCGCAGAAAGTTTGACCCAGCATCACGTGGAGAACGGTGACACTTCTTCAGTTCCAAACTGAAATTGTCAATAGTTCCCAAGCCTTATTTTTATGGCTTGCCTTCATGTTGGGACCTGTTACTGTGCCATTTTGCCTGCGATGAACATAATGAAAGCACCTCCAGAAACAATATCATTATTAGTACATCATGAATCATGAGTCATCATTCAGGGCCATCAGCTATTGTGAATGTGTGTGTGTTTGTTTGTTTGTTGTTTGTTTGTTTCCTTGACGCTTCCCTTTCAATTGCAGAACTTGAGGGGTAGTACCCTTGTTCAAACAACAATGCTGGTTTCGCTTCTTTTTTTGCCCGGCAGTACTCGACAGTTGTGGTCGCATCCGGGCCTTTTTCTTGGACTCCAGGATACATCGATTTCTACCTGTGATGGCACTCCGGCTCTGATGGAACCTGCCAGCCCAGGGAATGCACAGGCTGAGGATTGTCGACGGGGAACAATTGATTCAAGTTGTCAAGCATCGTCTTCAAGGCATGCATCAACCATTATTATGCCATGGTTGTCCCTTGCATCAGGACACGGAGGATGTGGTAAGCACAGTGGAAACGCCACCACACAGCAGCCAGCACCTTACTGATTGAGATGTAGTCAAGGGTCCGGTGCTAAGTTATATTTACACAAATTTGTATACGAAGCCAATAGTTTGCAGTAGAGCTTCACAACCATAGGCCATGTAAACAAGTTCTACTCCAAGACACTCACAGAAGCTTCCAAGATTCCAGAGTGTTGACAAGCTTGAAGCATTGATGCTGCCGATGCCAGAGTTACAAGTGCGAGGGACGCTTTTTTCAACATTGGCTTAGAAAAGAGCTCCAAACTCGTAAACTGTTGTCTCACAATGATACGAGGGCTTTGGTGATCCAAGTCCAAACGAAGCTGGTTCGGGCAATCCCTTGGCCAGCGTTTGAATTTGGCCCAAACTGAGACAAGCACTTAGCCTGGGAAGGTGCTGGTCCTTCCCCTGGCGCAACTTTGGAAGGCAGAAATGCGAAACTTTTGCCAAAGAGGAGTTTTCCAGACATCCACAGGAAGTGACGCCAGAAAAGATGTGCTCCCTTTGATCGCAATGGTAACGGACGAATTATAACACATTACCAAATTTGTGGATCACTGGGCCACATTTTGTGTCCCATACCAACTGAAACTTATGTAGAGCAAAATGACATATATCTGTCATTTGCCAGATTTGCTGCGAAGTGGCAATCAAGAATATGCGAGTCCTGCAAGGAGACTATTTTGTGAGGCGCATTGGTACAATTTGGATATTTGTTGGCTTTGTCGAATGACTGACGCACTCCCGCTAGACTACAAATTCAGGCGACGAAAGCTGGTGGAGAGGATCTACCTTGCGCGGAGCTTAGTTGCATGGTACCGTCAGGTGTGTGTTCGATGCCGATCCCAGGTCTTGATCCTCCATCCCCAAATTTGCGGCCATCAGTCTTGGCAGCTGAAGAGGCATTGCGATGGGCCCAATACTAAGTTTTCAGAAAGAGCACTGCAGAGAAGAGAATACAGTACCTGCAAGGCATCAAACTTCCCCAGAACATTACGGACATGATTTGCACACCAGCACGAAGGATGCGTTTCATTGTGTTTCAATCCACATATAGATAAAATGACTATATTGTCACAGTTGCTTGACAGATAGCGCAATCTTGCTTCAAAACCTTTCCAATCAATACTCCCCACAATGCACTACTGGGTGCTTGTGTTAAGTCGCGTGCTTGTAAAAAGTCATGCGGAAACGGACGCTCACCAAATGAACGCATGTTGGAAAGCGGTTGTATTTTTAATTAGTTTGCAAGCCCCCAGCTTGGAAATGAAGACATTCACAATGCTGCTTGCAAAATGCTCCCATGAACAGTGTGGAGAGAGGTCTTTGAGATCGCTGCAACGGTCGCAGTTTCAGAGTCCTTTGCTAAGCCACCCTGCGGCCCTTGAGTGCTGTAGGAATTGACTGGCAGTCGTATTGCTAGGGCTTGGCACACACAGGCCCGGGTAGGGTGAACCCAGAGCCTGGTGGGCCAGTGGGGGAGAGCGAAAAATATAGAGCGTCCAAAAGGTAGTAAACATGTATTTTTAGGGTGTCTTGGTGATACGAGTGATGCACATGACGCCGATTGGTGCACCATTAGCATCACAAAGTGCTCAGTAGACTATTTAGACTGTCTATTGACTAGGGGTGGGTGGTTTGGGTAGAGGACAGGAAAGGGGAGACTCCGCGACAGGAAATGTAAGAAACGAGGTCACCATACACTGAGGGAGCTGACAAGGCTAACCAGGTGCGTCCATCCAGTGAGGACAGAAGCTGCGAGACTTTGTGCAAGCCAGAATTTCTTTCTCGGACAACTCAGTAGGACATTTGGGGGCTTCATCTTTACAGCTACGTCTTGATATGGGGTCCCCTTTTAGCTCCTTAAAATAAATACTACAACAAAGGAGGGCGCCCCATATTGAGGTGGGCTCACCAGATTTATTTATTCAGGTAGAGGACAGGAGAGCAAGTAGAAAAACCGGATGAAAAAGGGCACCCCTCAGAGCTATAGATGTCCAAGCGAGTCGGATTTTTGTACGGACCAAAGTCTATCCTATGACCAGCAACAGCGGATGGGAGTTGATCCAAGGGTTGTGTATATAGGCTCTACCATATCGAGCTTCAATGCGAAGCGCTGCGTCTCTCAGCCTACTGCTTTCCCAGGCTTCATCTTTACAACTGCATTATCATATTATATGAGATACTGATCAGCTTCTTTTTCAGCATGAAAACGGGTTTGAGCCAAGAGAAAAAGGGCACCCTCCCGAACTGTGAACGTCCTGCTCAATTCAACTCTTGTCCTAACGCAAGGGCTCCACTTCTATCCTATCCGCCAACAGTGAATGGGCCTTGATCAAGGCCTTGTATATAAAAAACCTATCATATTGATCCTCAATGCGAGACTTTGCGCCTCTTAGCCTTCTATTTCCCCGTGGCCAACAGCAGTAGATGTCAGTGCAATGTCGACTTCACCCCATAACAGGAATGATTTATTGTCACGGAGGCTGGCTTTTTCCCCCATCCCTTCTCAGGTATTTATGCCTATTTTCACCTATACACTGTATATACTGTATATGTGTAGACAAGTGCTTTCATTGCCCCCACAATGATGTTTGTGGTGTGGCATGGTATGTCGTTTGTGTGGCTTGTGAGCCAGTGTGCCGCTGTGGTGTCTGCTGGAATGGCGTTTTTGCGTTGGCGCCCGCGCCCGGTTTTGGCAAAAAGTGAGCGGTTTCTCACGTGCATGAAAGAGGCTTAACGCAATTTCCCAGTACTTCCTAGTTCTGTGCATATCCCCAATGCTGTAGGCACTTCTTTCCTCAAAACTCACGTTGCGCGGGTCAATCTTTCTTGTCGGTCATGCCTTGGAACCCATAGCACGGTCTTTATTTGCACATCATCACCAGCATGTGTGCCCGGTGTGCCCTTATCGCACTTCTTGAACTGACTTCTCATTCAAAGAACACGCACTTCTCGCATCCAGATGTAGGCAAAGTACATGCCCCAAGACACCTTATAATCCTTATACATAGCAATCTGAGAAAGGGGCCCAATACACTACTCAATCAACATATGCAAGGCTACAATGAGAGATGGCGCTCAGGCCCTTCGTCCGTTGATTTGTTTTGCATTATTGTATGCGTTGTGTGTTTTTGTTTGCAGCAGTTGTAACTGTGGAGTGTTTGAGGCAAATGCTCGACTCCTGGCAGGAATGACTAGAGCAGAGGCTCAATAGCAGCTAGCAGCTCTAGTGATTTTGTGTGTGTGCGCCCGTGTGTGTAGGCATTCTCTAGCATTGAAGTATGTTGCCCCAATTTGTTCCGAAATGTGATTGGCGGCAAGCAGCTGGAGGACTGTTTTGGCGAAATTGGAGCACACAGCAAGAGCCAAACCTCTCAGCAGAGACATGTTGAATCTCGGCCGCACATGGTGAGATTCCAAATCAATTGTATATTGTATATGCATATATATATATATACTTGTGATTATAGTAAGTCCGTTTTAGAGGAGGGGCACTTTGAAGTCATGCAGGCGCATCGAACACTTTGTACTTGGGAATGCTTGACGCCATGGTAGGTACAGACTGCAAAGCAGCCGGTGGCTAGGTGCGAGAAAGTTGCAGATTTGCAGTTGACCTGTGTGTTCAGTTAGGAGTGAGACATGCACACTGCATGTAATTCACAGGAACTACGTGTACTGTATTGTCAATCGAGTGCCGATAAATGGCGACTTCGGACTCAGTGGCACCCTTTTGAAGGGAGCTTGTGCCGGTTTGCTTTGATTTGCTTTTCTACCCTTTGTCACTGATGCGCCGCAGTTTTTTCTCCGCCGTGGCACATGGTGGCACAACATTGTCTAGCTGCCACATTTGAGCTGATAGTGGACAGAATTCTTTGTGCCGATGTCCATGTTCATGTCCTAAGCAGCTGCAGCTTTGGCCAGTGCACCAACATTGTCCACTAGCTCAGTCTCTTCCAGCAGGAGCGTTCCTGCAGGCAACCGACGATTCTGCACGTTTATCAGCCTCCATTTTGGACACGTGATATTGAGATTTCCCCAGGTGCATCAGAGCTTGATCGAACGTTGAGGTTGCGGGGTCAATGTTTTTTTGGTGCGAAGATTTGAGAGGTGTTTAGACCTTTTGGCGGAGAACTGCTGGAAATACAACGGGAGGGAACTAACAAAAAGAAGATCTAAATTCAAGAAGAAAAACATCAAAAGTAAAAAACACATCATTCCCAGTTGCTTCCAGCTGCCCTGAAGACTGATGTCTCGTTCCTCTGGCCCGGTGGTGTCTCGCACACTGAGAGGCAGGATGAGCCGCACTGCTTGGTGGTAGGACCATGTAGGATCCTCCCTTTTGCTTCCACCATTGGTCCAGAATTGCCACCAAGTTTGCACATTGATTGCACGGGGCCCGGTCCATCACAGAAAAAAAGACAAGATGGTACAGTACAACCATAAATCGCGCCTTGCATGGAACAATTGCAAAGAAGCAGGCAAGCACATCTTAATGGAACAAAGGCGGATCGTATTGCAGGGCAATGAGTGAAGATAAGACATTTCGCAAGTTATTTGGAAACTTGGACAAGAATCAGCGGTTCCCTCGGTTTTCTGGCCAGGCGCACTTGGCCCGCTTCACAGTGAAGCGCAAGGATCGCCAGCCAGTTCAACGAGTGGCCCTGGCCAATGTGCGGGCTCACCTGAAAAGCTCCAGCCTCGCCTGTAAAGTTTTTTTAGCGTGATTGACTACCTGATCAGCTGAATGCCAGTGCAAAGCTTGACTGGTCCCCTGTAGTGTGCTAAGGCTACAACAGCAAGGAGTTGCTGTCTCACCTTCCGTAGGCTTCTTAATCGGAGTTTCCTTCCTCAGGAGCTAATGATGTTCAAACCACCAGCCACATGTTCTATTTTCACTTTGACAAGTGTTCCAGTCTCAGGCTGTCCCCTCTTTGCCTATGCGTTCTGCTTTGCCATGGCCTTGTCGGCTGACATGCTCGATTCTTTTATATTACAGTACATTCTTGCCCTATGGCTTCAGCAAGGCCTGCTACCGGAACTGTTTCGGCGAGGTGGATGGGATTGGAGGGACGGGGGCTGTATATTTGCATAATAACACGCCGGCGCTTTCAACCCGCTGTTCCAAAGACCTTTCTGTTTATGAAGAGACTATCATTTCAAAATTATCCCTGTGGTTGCTCTTGCAAGAAGTGACCGGCGTTTACAGTCTTTGCTTTCGTGGGCTTGAAGAACGGACTATCTCCAGGGAGCTGGTGGTTGTACCGACACCTCCTAACACTGCCGGTTCAGTTCAGCACAACGGGTTCCGATTGTGCAACAGAGCGGCCACCAACTGGTACTATCCAGATGCAGCAATGCTGCGCAAGATGCCTCATGAATGTAATCATGGCCTGGGAAGAGTCTTGCCATGCGGATGGTCAATGACTCCGGCTTGCAGGGGGCAGAGGAATGCAGGAGGCGGCTGGGTCTCTCCAAACACACTGGTCGAAGATTATAGCAAATTGTATTTTTTGCATTTGGTTGTCGGGCTGATGCAAGTAATTATGAGTCAGGTCAAGGAGAGGCCCCGGAAGGACGGGCTGATGCAGCATATGCAGTGTGCTTAGCTGTGCTTAGTGGTTTCCTTTGTTGACCTTTGGTGCCATGGATGCTGAGGTGGCCACCGTCCAGCTTGTGAAGGAGTTGGGGAAAGTAAAGGTGTCAAGTGCAACTTCTCAAAAGCAAAAGTCGCTTCAGAAAGAGGCACACTTGCAGTATGCACAGTAATGGCCTTTGAAGTAAAAGACCAAACCAAACAAATGCAGGTGTCGCAATCTGGTGCGAGTAGGGCCACTTGTCCTTGGCCTAAGCATTTTGCACCATCAGAAACAATGCACAAAGGCAACAAGTTATATGTATTGCTGCTTGAAAATGCTTGCATTGACTCATTGCCACTTACTTTGAAGACTATTGGCACTAGCTTTTTGGCCAGCATAGAATCAGGGGCCAGCCCTTCTTATATATAAAAGGCTACATACATACATTACATTACATTGCATTACATTACATTACATTTCATTACATCACATTACCATTACCATTACCATTACCATTACATACATACATACATACACACATGGCTCAAGCCACGAGTGGCCCAAGCCGGTCCAATACAAAGCCGGATACAAGCCATAAACTCCCTGGACTTCCTGTTCGGCACTGGACTCCTTTGCTAGTGATCTCACGTCTACGCCTTCCACGCTTTAGCTGAGATCTCCGGCAACTGGCAGTTCTCGCCTGGCTTCAACATTGAGGTCTCCAGGGGGCTGGACCTCCAACCCAGCGGAACCCAGAACGTGACCGGTGCCGAACACGTCGCCCACCAGCTGTACACAAACAACGACCCTGAGGACATCAGCATCCAGAAGTATGACACCAAGCCAGACATCCAATTGGTGCAGAAGCTACACTCCGTGTGGCAATTCCACCTGCACCAACTGGATTTGGGACGACAGGCTGGCTCCGGGAACAAGATGTCGAAAGTGTGGCACTTGGTGGCAACATGCTCATCAACCCACTGGCAAAGGCAAGGGACAGGGTCACGGATCACGAAGCAAGGCTTCCACCAAGGCCACATGGCCCCAGAAGACCTATGCTGAAGCACTCCTGGACTCGCCACCCGGCCTCCAAAAGCTCAGGCCGCTAAAGAAGGGCAAAGCCAGCAAACGGCAGCTGACCTTCTTCCACTACGGGGGATGTCACTCCAGGAGAGATTCAAAGCAAACTTCAAGCCTTGGGATTTGGACCACCCCAACCGGAGGAACCTGGACTGGCTGAAGTCCTGCAGACGCACCTCAATGCACTACCCAAGGCAGTCCAGGACGTGGTCAACAAGTTGACCCAGCCGATCCCAGACACCCAGAAGGAGATTGCACAGAAGTTGAAGACCCAGGTCACTCACCTCAAATCCATCTCCATCAAGAAGACTCAGTTACAGGCCAAGCTCGATGCCATCAAGGCTCAATACGCTTCCATGCTGCAGGACACGCAAGAGCTCCAGACAAAGCTGACGGAAGGCCAGCAGAAGTTGAAGGCACTCTCCGGGCAGTACATGAAGGCTGTAAGTCAGAGCGCAATGCCAGACAAAGTCAGAATTCAGAATGTAGCAGTTACTGAGTGGGCTCCAGCTAAAAGATCCCATTTGTGTCAGTGGCCACCAGATTAACTAAGTTGTAAATATAGACAGTGGAAAAGAGAAATTAAATACAATCTAGGCCACTGCGTGTCAAGTATGTAATATATAGGGCTGCAGGGGTCCCCTCCTCATGCTCAGCAAAAATGGCCCCGCGCACATTTATATAACGTTGGGCTGTTTATGGTCACCAAATTAAGGGTGAGCACCTCTGAAAACCAGAGGTTTGCTTTCGGTCAACACGCCTGATTTTATGCTCCGTTTTCTGGTGGATAAAGTCACACTCAAGACCCCCCATCCATGAATGGAGCATCTCTCTAGCAGGAAGGAATTGGGTCACAGACGCTTGCAGGTTGCAAGCTCTTGCCGGATCATCGGAGTGCGTCGGACCAAATGCGCTTTGATGACTAGTTGGGCTGCTGCCGTTTGAGACACCATCAGACCCCATGCGAAGCTCCAACTTCCATAACCTGCCTTTACTCACTACATGGGAGCCGATCATAAATGCAAATCTAAGAATTATGAATGGGCATGTGTATCTCAGCATCTGCGATTGTAAAACCCTGCGTCGCGGTTGATCGGCGATTGGTTCGCGATTGAGACAAACATTTGTTGTATCAGAATCGACCATTGTCAGAGGAGAAATCAATATTTAATGACATGATAACCATGTTAAAGTTCAGCCTTACACTATATTCGGGTTTGCCTAGACACTGTGTTCAATAGTGATAGCCAATAGCAAAGAAGAATCATAACAACAAAGTTCAAAGTCTACCAGCCCAGAATATGATCAATTCAATTATCATAAAAATGTCGACGAAATCCGCGATTGTGCCGCAATTGTTAAAACCGCCTGAGTAGGCCCTGGCTCACGCCATGTCTCTAAATGTAGCAACGTTGCGACGATTCTCTGCGTGCATACGAGAGACTCCCGCGATTGACACAGTTGGGATCGCGATTGATTCGCGGTTGATCGGCGATTGTAGCTGCCTCAGATACCTTCATTTTGATCGACGCCCACATGGCAATTGCTGTAGATAGAAAATGCTTCCTGGTGTAAGCACAGGGCTCGGCCCCGTGGACTGTAAGGATCTGTAAGGTATTGTTGCGTACGCCGTACGCTGCATTCGTCAGGTTTGGTGAAACCATGCTCTCGTTGCGTGCCAACGTCGGTCCAGAAACGCGATGTTTGGTTTGCGCAACGAGTAACACGAACGAAACTGTCCCCAGCCCCCCCCCCAACCCCCCCCCAGAAAACCCTGTTCGCTGGTCGGAAACGTTTGCTTGCCTTCGGGGCAAACCCCCCGTTCACCCAACATGTTGCAAACGGGCATGCGCAAACACTTTGCCGCTGTTATTTGCGCAAAGGAAAATATAATATAAGCGTCACCTTTGGCTATGCCTCGAGCATGCGTTGAGGCGAAGATTCGACTTGCGCACCTCTTGCGCAACCCCTATACGTGTCCTCAACGGGGCAGCAACTGAGCTCCTATTCCACGTTGAAGGCCTCGCAGCTTTGTGGTTCAGCCATTGGACTCAATGCTAGAGGCTGTGAGAATACACAGAGAGGCTGTGCAAGACGCTTGTCCGCCAGCTCAAGAGTACAGTGAGCTGTCATGGCTCAATTGGAAAGAGGATTGAAATGAAGTCGTGCCGCAAAAGGTTCCTTGAGTTGCAGATCATCGACCAGGTGAGAGGACGGGAAAGACTCCAGGATTTGACTGGGTGGTCTTTGAATGGTCTTCAAAGATCTTCAAAGTGCACTCAACTTATCGTCTTGGAGTTCACTAGACGAGAAGTTCGAGAAGTTGAGTGTCCCGAACCCCCCCCGAAAGCCCAGTAAAGCGCATGCTTTTCTGATGTTGCAGTCGGGGCAACCCCCCCCGTTTACCCAACATGCTGCAACTGCAGAGGTGCCAACCTGACTGGTTACTTTTTGGCCACAGGTCCCATGATCTATATATAAATCAAGTGGCCTCGTTCTGAGGCCGTGAACGCCCAATGGATAGGGAAAGAAGCAGCAGCCCTTCCAGGCACAAGATGAAAGAAGACATGCTGTGGCCTAACGTTCAAAATCTACGAACTTGTGGCCGGGAAGCTATGCAGAAGAGTTAGAACACTGATTTTGCAAATGCATTTCACCGAAGGGCCGGTGCATTTTTACACTGACGTTCGACAATTACGATTCTAGTCATTGCAGAGAAGCTTGGAAGTTGAACTGTTTCCCACAATGTTGAAAATTGGAATGACTGAGAGTTCTACGACGTTCAACGAATTTTGTAGATGAGTCACACATAAAAAGATGTATCATTATATGTACAGACGTGGTCCCTGGATCTTATGTGTGGACGCCTAGGCACATATGTACACGGTGTATAGAGCCATGCCCTTTTCTACAAGAGACTTGCGCCCAATGACTGCTGGTCATGAACCAACTGGCATGATTCATACGTTGTTTTGCCCTGGTGCCACTGCATGGCCTCAGCTTTGCAGGCGTTCGCGGAGAAGTACAGGCCTCAGTGTGCGGTACGTTTCAACACAACATTCACATTGGTGACTTGTGCCTCTCGGCACACACAGCGCCCCTACCCGTGCAAAAAAAAAATCAACACAACATTCACAAGGTTGCTCCAGCCTTAGAGACTACAGCCCAGACCGAAACCAATTCTCCGTTTCCCATTCTACCTGGAGCGCTCCATGTCATGTGTAGAAACGGTAGAACGTACGCATTCGTTTAATCTTTCCAAAGGGGTGCATAGCAGCGCAAACTGCAATGGATTGCAAAACCATTTTGCAGCACGTGCTTTGTTTTGCTCTGCTGGCAGACTCACATTTTTTATTTTTACACGAACAAGTTGCACTGTATTTGGTGTCCTTGCAGGTGAGGCTCAGGATCAGAGCACTAAGGCAAGGAAAACTTGAGAGATGTGTCATAAAAGGCTATCAGGATGTACTGAGTACTGTATGTAGCTTGTGTGGATTGAAGAGGGAGGTTGTCGCATGCATTTCCTGGGCATCATTGCACCCAAGAGGGCCTTCTCGAGATGCCCTCCGCAGGCATCACTGTGATGGTTGTGGCCCAAGTGCTTCCATCCCTTGTCACAACAACTTTACGTCTTTTCAGTCTTCAGATTTTCATATGTGTGAGGTCTAGCTAATGACTACCAAATCTGATGGCAAAGCCGAGCATATTTGAAAGCTGCAAGCCTGACGAGATGGCAGAGGCAAGGCCTTACCACATGACAGAGTTCAACTATATGTATTTATATATTATATATGCTTGCCCCACAGAGCCAGCCATCTCTGGATAATAGCTTTTATGTTTCACTTGTCAGTCAGTGCTCCAGGCTTTGCCTAGCGCACTTTTAGCGCGGAGACCACTAAACATGGGGCCAACACCTCACCGCCAACTATTCAATATTGAAGTTGGTGTTGTTTGAGGATGTCGAATTGGAATTCACCAGAGGTTCTTCAGCCATTTGTTTTTTGCTCAGCAGCTTGCTCAGCCGGATTGTGAGTGCCACAGAATCAGCAACAGGCCTCCTCACAGCAGGGTAAATAAGTACCATGGAAAGATTGCAAGGTCTTTCAACCTGAAAACGGGAAGCATTATAAGTTATTGACAAATTGATGAGTCTGTTCTTGCAATGAATTTAGCGGCAGCCTATGGAAAGCGCAGCTGAAATCCAGGCTCGTCAATGAGCAGCGCTTTAGGAGATGCAAACCTTGAAGATCCTTAGATAAAGTATATTCATTGTATCGCGACCCGTTAAGACAACAATCCTGAGAACTGTCCACTTGGACCACCTTGGACCAATGGAGTGGGAGTGGAGCTTGTAGCTTTGCATAGCATAGGTTGTAGGAACTGACCTTTTGCCGTGTTTATATGTCGTGTTTATCATTCTTTGCCGCCAGCGCGTGCACGAAAACCGTGCGTCCAGCACCAAGAATGTGATAAAAGCAATTATCCTCCATATTAATCAGTACGTCAAGTTGCAAAGTTTGATGAATGTGGTTCATTTCTTGGTTGAATTATCCTACAGGAGTAAGCACTTGTCATGAAAGGCTTGTTTGCGATGTTAGGAGTGCTAGATTGAAGTTTGCTGGCTACGTAGAGATTGCTTGCCTGTATTGCAAGAGAGAGAGAGAGAGAGAGAAAGAGAACCCAGGCCCCATGCTGGCCGCACAGCCACCAGCACCACCTTTGTCTCCACCATCTCCTCCAGTGGCCTCTTTAGCGCCTTTGCCGGTAGCGCAGGCACCTCAGGTACAGGACTGTCCTCGGCAGAATGCCACCTGGCAAAGAATGCCATGGTCTTCAGATGTCTTCAGAGCTTGTTTGCACTTGTTTGCGTTGTTTTTCCCAAGATGGCTCCAAGAGCCGACCAGAGAAACTGGCTGTCATGCTGTGTAAGTCCAACAAGATGCGGCAAACCGTTCAAACCTTCTCGAAACGTCAAAATACATGCTGCTTGGCTCAGATGGAGTAGTGGTGCAGATATTCATCGTGAATGCAAACCTGAAATCCAGTCTTGGTCAATTCCCAAGGTGGCGGATAGTTTGCGGACTCCAACGCCAGTTGAAACAAACAACAGCGCGCTGTTGAGGGCACTCTATCGACAAAGCACGTCCTTCAGAAACTGCAAAGTAGTTTGACAAGCATTATGGAACTCCAATTTGTATGTGTGATCGGGCGGCTTTCATCGCCCCTCACTGAAGAATGCCAGCAATGGGCAAATTTTCTTTGCCACCCCCGCTGAATGCTGCAGACGATCCTGCAATCAAGGCGACTGCACTGTACATGTGGCTCGGACAAAAAATTAGGTTTGCTGTAATTTGTATTTGGCTGATGCTATGCCATTATGCAATGCAAAGTCACAGTAGCTTGTGGCACATTAGCACAAGATACAAATGCTGAAAGAAAATCACCAGATGTTCGACGATTTTGGACTATGTGACTATGACTGACTATGTATTTATGATTATTTATGTAGGCTACTTTGTCACCGATTTACATTTGCTGGCCGGATGCCAGGGTCTTTCCTTAAGGATTTGCAGTGTTGGCATGGTGGTCGCAAACAAGGACCACAACTGACCAATTAAATTGCTTGTTTGCCCGTTGCTCAACACCATACGTAAGTGGCTCACAGGCAGCCATGCGCATATACATATATACAACTAATTCTAACAATATACATATACGGGCTATATGGGCTCGTGGACATTTCGGGGAATCCTGGGAATATTGCTTCTGTGAACAGTTTCATGCAGTCTGTGTTTAATCATTATACTGTATATATATATATTTATTTATACGTGTCAGTGTGTAGTTATATGGGCGTGTTATCATTTGTCTATTGACTCAACTCCCGTGGTTTATAGGGGGTCCCCCAAAAGCACGCGGGCATGCATCATTACATATAGATTTGGCGGATTTGCTTGTTGCGTGGACGCATATCCCGTACCTGTATCGAAAGTCATTACGACAATAGTGCCTTAGTTTCCAACTTGCACGATCTGAGTTGGTAGCCACAAGCACGGGCTGCACCCAATCACCTCAATACCCCCACTGTCACCAAGACGCTCCACAATACTTACTCATGTTGAATATGCCAAGTTGTGTTCATTTTACATTTGACATTGCCATTCGTATCCATTTGATCATGTCATGAGAAGAGCCAGGAGGCAGCTACCCAGACACAAGCGGGAACCATCCTACTGGCAATGCAACAATGTGCCACCATCACCGTGGCCGGAGTTTCTTTGCTGTACGGTTGGGCGTGGGCATTTGTTCAGTCGAGAGTTTCACAGATGAGACGCAGATGAACTAGCTCGTACTGATATAGTGTAGGATGCTTGTGAAGCACGATATCTTTGAAAGACACATGCTTGTTCAACCCCACTTAGCTGGAGCACTCAGATCCAAACTTTGCTGGCATAGTCGCTCCGACATTGGCTTGCCCTGAGCTTTGGACCTTCCAGCATCCTGAAAACGCTAGGGCTTTCGATTTCACCTGTGAAGGTGCAGGATGACGAGGCACACTTCTGTCCCCTACCCCCCAACAAACTCCAGCTTCAGAAAGCCTTGGGCGGTGGGAGAGCTGGAGGTTTGTTATTGAACAGCTCACAGTATGGCTTAGCTCAACTTGACAGGTATTGCACCTGGTTGGAGCCAAATTGATACGAGGGAACTTTCACGCAGTTATCCGCTGGACACCGATTGCAGTGCTGTCAGGGCTCAACCTTTGGACAGGCATGCAAGCTTTGAAGCTGAGCCAATACTAGTACTGATGCTTGTTCTTGTCCGTTCTGAGCCATAGGCTTATATGTTTTTATGTTATAAAACTACATAACAAGTAAGTATTATAAGTATATAAGTAGTTCCAGGGAAAGAGGAACAACATTTCCAAAGATGATGTCGAAACCTTCCACATGTAAATAGATGTTACTCGACTTAATTGTGGCTCAAGTGTAAAAGGTGCCGCAGCTCTTTGCGCGCATTGATGTGGTGGCATATATTGTTGTACACTGACCCATTCATTGGGTTATCAGCCTTACGCGGCTTGCTGTAGAGTTTGCAGCACTGGTTCGGCAGCTGGCACTTGATCCGTTCGACTGGGCGAAGCTTGTTCTTTTCAAGTGCTTAAAGTTCTCGAACTAAGCCCTTGCAGCTTGCATCGTGCACGGTGCGTGCGCAAGGCCCGCCCCCGCGGCGGCAAGTCGAGTCGCGGGAAAGGCTCAGTGAACTGTTCTGGGGTGCCTACACGGACTTGGTAGGGAAGGAGGCCAACTACTGCATTGTCTTGTGTCGGAGGGCGATCAGATCAGGAGCTTGACCTCGAGTCTCGATGGGTGCCCTGGTCATTTGATCGTGTTCCATTGGCAGGAGAAGGACACGCTGGGTCGGTTTTCTTGGCCGTGTCACTGTTCTTGGACGAGCAGTGTGGGTACGTCAAGGAGTTTCGGCGACGGCATATTGTACGAAGGACTGGAACTTGCATTGACAGCTGGACGAGTTCAAGAAGCTCGTTGAAGACAGCGTGAGATGTTGGGACAAGGGGCATCAGGAAGAACAGGGGGCCAGAACCCCAGAAAAGTTTCCATTGAGCACGCAGGAACCGCACATTAAAGTTTCTCTAGTGAATATTTTTTCAGCTTGAGCAGTGAGACTGAACCGAACTGCGCAAAAGCGTTCAGAAAGAGCAGAGTAAGCTGAAACGGTAGCAGTGGCTGTTGCTGAGATGGTTGAAGCCACTACCAATCCCAGCTTTTGACCGCAGGGGTATGAGCCCCCAACCATGGTTACGCAGACGAAGATCCAAGCTCACAAGAGCAGCAGGCCCAGCCGCGCCTCTGACATAGCCCTGACACACGTGACATCACACACCTGCCAAAACAAGATTCGCGTGAAGCGCAAGGCAAGATCATCTTTGGCGCGGAAACTCAAGAATACAGAGCTCTCAATGATGGCAGACATGCTAAGGATTCCGGAGGCCGCATTTACAGTAAACCAATTTTTTTTCCACCTTCTAATGGGTGACAAGGGAGGGTCGTTTTGTTTGGTCGCTTTCGACGAGTATATACCCGAATCATCGGATGAGGCCGCGAAAGCTTTGAGAAACTTCATCGGTAGAAGGCCCAATGAAGAACTGCATGGTGAAAGCTCACTTAAAATTTAAAGAAAGTTGCAGATGAGCTAGGCACGATCTACGGTATAGAACTTTCATACGGCAATACAGCCATCCTGAATCGGCAAAGAAGGACATCGCAAGGGGGTCAAGCTGGAAATTTCAACCCTTTGTGTCCACACATGCCACATGCTACGCTGCCGACGCTGTACACATAGAGAATTGATTACTGGAAGGCGTTGCCTGGCCATGGCTGTGAAGTCATTCGAGCCACTACAAACCCAACAAACCAGGGTCGAAGCTAGGTGCAAAGACCATTCCTGGGATTTCTTCGGGTGGCGGACCAAGTCTGGTGTAAACTGGAAGCATTGCCATATAGAGCTGTAAGTGACGAATCAGTCAATCAGTGGTTGAATGGGAAAGCAAATGCTTTCAAGAGACCACCTCTAGCAAAGCATGCCATGAAGGAGAGGGTGCACACATCCAATCCAACACGGAGAGGTTCGATGAGTTGATCAAGATTTAAAGTGTTCTGGAAGACATTCCAAAAGGCATCGGTTCATGGAAAGTTGCAGCCCTGTCTCGATATCCCGTTTAGGCAAGGGAGTGACACCGAGGTGTTGCGGAAGTCAAAACTAACCATGTTGACACATTTGTTCGCCCACAGGGTTGGCAGCCAGGCACAGCGGATAGGGTTTTCGTCGAATGCTGTTGTGGCCCTGAATGCGCAGGTCTTGGTAGGGTTGCGAAGAAATTTGGGTAACCTTCTAGATCCTAAAGTTTAGAAAGACCTATTATGAGAGCGGTTCCTTATATAGGGGAAGTAGACCTTTGCGGTTCGTTGCCTTGCGCGGCGTGGTGTGTTTGGCAAAACATGAATTCTCCGTCGCAAGGATATGGGCATTTGCTAACAGGCGTCGCAAGCAAAGGCTCAAGCGCAGGAAGGCGTTGAAGCTCTTTGCGCTTCACAGCACGGGCGTTTGGTGGGAGTGTGCATGTCGAATGGTCTTCATACTGCCAAGGGCGGAGACTAAACTTTTGCGACTCGCATCAGGTAAAGCCTAGAGTGGGCTTCAACCAAGTCCCAGCCCAAACTCTCTGCGATGTTTATGAACGAGAAGTGCTCCAAAGATCACAAAAAATATATATATATATATATAATGTATATTTGGAAAAAGAGGAAGGAAAACAGCAAAATATCACATTTTGCGCGCCAAATGAGACGGTTGGCCGAACGCACAATCAATGAAAACGAGGTCAAGATTAGATAAATGACACTGCAGCCATTGTTGAAGCAAGAAACGAGTCACAAGGCTAGATTGCCGTTGGAACATGGAAGTGTAATGAAGTGTATTGAAAAAGAGCTCAAGAGAAAGGGAAGAAGATCATGACAATCATGGAAGAACGCCGAATCCAAGACAGAGAGGCGCCTGACGGCTAATGACGCCCCAGATGAGTCTGAATTGATACATCTAACAGCTCAATCAAGGCACTCCCAATAACCTATATGGCCTACGGACGGGCAATAAGTTAACTCAGAGCGACATCATCAAAGCCTACGTCCAGAGCGACCTGCCCGCCGCCACACGTCCTGCCACCTTATCTGGAACACATTGGCGGCCGTGCGCAAGGCTAAGGAAGTCCGTGCGCGGGCACCCTGAGTCAGGAGGCCATTGGAACAACAAGCTGGTCTTTGGTGCTGTGGAACCAAGCCTTTTTCCAGCCAACTTTGTGTTCAAAGACAGGGGCTTGGTCGTAACAGCTTACGTAGATGGTGGTTAGTGGAGTTTGTGGGGAGTCATGGACAACGCTGGACAGATGTGGCGCAGACACCTGAAGTTTGCGCGCGTGGCGCAGATTTTGGACGAAACGGAAGAATCATCATTTTGTTGGAGTGGTTGCCTTGGGTCCAACGCGCGTGAGTCGCAATTGTTGTTTGCGCTTTCTCTTCTGAACGTGGCAAAATTGGGAAAGGATGTGGGCTCACAAAGTTCAACCCGGTAACCGGCGCCGGTCCCAACTCCATACCTTGACGAAACCAATAAACCAATCGCTCGGAGGAGGATGGCAGAAGTACAGGTCATCTCTCACAGCGCGCGGTGAAACTTGCATGAAGGGATATACTGATTAGCCCGGTTGAGCTGGCCAGATTTGCTTCTTGTGCGTCAGGAAATCAGTCGATCGACAACAAACTGGTCACTGAATGACAGACACCTCTACAGAGTCTTGGTCTACCTGAGTCTACCTTCACCCGACAAGAACCTCACGGATGAGATGCAAAAAAAACCGATCCTCAAGGTGAATGGGGACTTTCGTTGTTCACCGACGCGGGCCATGGTTCAAAGGTCACACTCGACATCCAGAAGCGTTAATGGTAGCAGGAGGAGGGTCGTACTTCCCTGTGTCCTACGCCAGTAAGCAACAAACCGCAACGTCAGCTGAAGGTGAAGCAATAGCTCTCAACTCAGGATTGTTCAATGAAGCCTGGCCCAAGATTTTGAAAGGGTGTTCAATTTCTCAGCGCCGTGGACATGCCATCAGGAGAGTGAAGCAGCCATTGTAATGGTTTGTCCGGGTCACAGTGTGAAAATGCATCATATTGGGAAAACTCACAAGATCAACGCTCAGGATCAACAGGCGGCAGATATAGCCACCAAGAACTTAGATGTCCAAAAATAGGTTTCAGCGTTGTTTTTTATCGATGTGTTCGGTCCTAAGTTATAAAACTTGTTGAACTTTCAATGTTCAGCACATTGCCGCCGACGGAAATGTGGAATTCAGGTTTTGCTATAATTAGTTTAGTATTGGGGGCCCGAACTGGGTTTGATTAATAGGGGAGGTTACTTAATCCTATGTCGACAATCGCTCGAGACACTGTGAAATAGACTTTGGTTTGCGGCTAATGTTGTTGGTTGATGTCCACATATTTTTTGCTGTTCCCGGCTGTGGCTCTGAGAATCAAAAGGGTTCCTTTCATGTAAACAGCCGTGATCCTTTCAACACTGAACAAAATTGAATAAGTGAATACAAACATCTAAACAGCTCATGTGACCGCGTCATAGTAGTGCTGGAAAATTTTCATCCTCCACTGCTCGTTTCCTTGTGTATAGCTGCCACTGCCCCCAAAAATTGTTTCCCTCCCTATTCGCCTGGAACAGGCAAATCTTACCCTGGTCTCTGGGTGGCTTGCATCCATCGTTCAACACTTAGGACTTGGCCACTCTTAGGTATGAACATGTACATGCTGATGCACTAGTCCTCGAATGAGGGGGTGTTGAAGTTTCAACACATGTAAATAGATGATAATCGACTTAATTTTGGCGCAAGTGATCCCAAAGGTGTCACAGTTTTTTTTGCGTGTTGTTGTGGTGCAATATGTAGTTGTACACTGACCCATTCATTGATAATATGCTCATGGACACCCCAAGTGAATCTTTAGATCACCAGACGTCTCCTGCATCACACTTGGCCACGCGACACCAAGCGTGGCTTTGGTTCACACACGTGCACTTTCCACCGAAGCCTCTCCAAAATGCCTGGCATTCAAAGTTGCCAATTCAGAGCGCTTCGCACAAGACCCGGTCAAGTTTTGACATTGGTTAGTTTCAACATGAGGATTCCGTGCCAATTTGATCCAAGTTGAACATGTTAAAACTTCAAACTGAGCATGTCATGCAAGATTTCCATAGATTTCTTAATCTTCAGCATGAGCATGTGGTGTGAGATTTCATCAGTTTAGCACATCCAAACCTCAACAGAAACATGTTGCCCGAGACTTCCTCCAAACATGAAAGTACTGAGAACACCTAAGCATCCTATACAGCGCGCGGCCGATCTCGCAAACGATGTTCCTCGAAGTTTAACCGTCGAACTTTAGAGACACACCGCATGTTATCGTGCACAGCAGGCTATCTCTCAAAAAGGTGTTTCATGCGAGATTTCCTCAAGTTTTGACATTTCATGACGTTTCCAAGTTTGACTCAGCAAATGTCATTTAAGTTGTCAATTTTGGATATCTCAAAACTGTTGATTTGTACGAGACTTCCTCAAATTTGCACATCTTCAAACCTCAGGTTACTATGTGATATTATATACCTAATTTGTCAATTTTTGTGAGTGGTCGTGATGTTCATGCCTATACAACCTCAAGCTTTGGAGTGCAGTCATCTCCTTTTGAGCCTGCAACGTTTGCATGTTTAACTGAGTGTTCAACTGTTCATTTTGCTCCAATATGTTGTTCAACAGTTCAACCTATATATTGCTGCTAGAACACCTTTCCCACCCGTGTCAGACATTGTCACCACTTGCGTTTCCTCGAGCCATGGCCTGCTAGGATGTATACAACATTGTCAACTTTGACTGTCATCAGAAATGCGAGCCCCTTGATACTGCTGGGCGCCGAGCACTTTATGTTCGGCGTGGCAATCACAAAAGATGCTATTGTCTCTTTGGCAATCATTCTGCTAGGCAGGGTGGGCGCAGTCAAACAACAAGAGATCCATCAATCAATCACGGACATGTGTCAGGTGTTTTGATCTACTGCTCTGATGATATTTCCTCCCAGGACGCATGGGCGGTTCTCACGTACTACAGTTCACGTCCAGTAATTATAGCATGCCAAGTACAGTGACATATTGCTGGCACTGTGCGGAGGAGGCCTTGGGCATTTTGTTTGTCATTCTGGATGCCTTTATCGTTTGCTTGGACCGCTTGGCACAGCGATATCTTCTCCAGGAGACAAGTGTTCTTCAGGATAATGCATGTCCTCATTTACCAAGTTTTGTGCAGTATCATGTGGTTTTCTCCTTTGGGCTCTCACTAGGCTAAGCGGGTTGTTGCCAAGATTGACTCAGCAAACATGCCTGACGCGTGATCACAGAGACAGTCTAGCTTGGACATGTTGTTTCTAAATTACTCTGGCTGGCTAGAGGAGTGGCTTCCACGGTTGCGGTTGTTAAAGCAAGGGCCACACTGGGTTTTAGATGGTTTTAGAGTCCTGTCAAGTGACATTGCTTTTTGGCTCAAAACAGGGCACAATTCTTTATTTCATGTTGCATGTTATGTTGCATGCACCTCATCAAACACATTCCGTTAAATTTCAGTCGTTTGAGTAAAACAACAGTGTTCAGTGTTCCATCAAATTATATCAAATTGCTCACCTTGGCTACTCAGATCAGGGACATGCCGATTGCAAAGCCTTCGCCTACGGAGGTTTCAGAAGCGGTCAAGCAACTGGCAGCCGTCCAGAAGCAGCAAGCTTGCTTCGAGCTTTCCTTACAGAGCATTGACGCGCTGAAAACTCAACATCGCGAATGGCAGAAGTCTGTGCAGGATTTGCTGACCAAACTTCATACACACTTGAACCATCACAGTGATCGAGTTGCACAACCCGTGCAAGCGCCTGCCGGGGACATTACGGTGGACATCATGGCACCACACGATTTGGAAACTGACCCTGCTGTCGACGACTCCAGTCACACGGGGCTGCAACTGCAGTCAGAAGAATCTGTCGAAGGCCGTCCAACGGCAAGTACCCGGCGGATCCCAACCAAACAGGGAACCTTAGACGATCTCTTCAGGACTCGGAAGACGGTGGTTGATGCCAGCAATCAGCCTGCGGGATTGAAGAAATTGGTGCAAGAAGAAATCGTACAAACTGCTTCGGAGGGCAGAGTGTTATCAGGGTGGATTGCAAAGCGGCGTGCCTTTGCAGCCCGTGTGGTTGATTCTGTGTGGTTCGAGCAACCTGGATTTTCTTGAAGTCGTTTTTCATGCACTTGACTTTCGAGAAAACATGTCACCCTCAGCCACGTGAAACTTGATAGAAGTGAATCCAAGCAAGTTGGAACAGGGAGTTCTGGAAGTTGTTGTACCAATAAGAGTGTTGCAGAAGCCGTTACTTTGGGACACTCTTGTATATAAGAGACTCTAGTGACTGAAGTGCGACATTGCGTTGAAACGCGTTAGTTTTAAATGTTTTACACATGTCCCGTCCCGCATCCTTGTTGAACGCCTTTGCAAGGCACACTTGTAAGGAGCTCCAGAGTCTAGAGAAACAATATGAAACAGTGTTCTGACAAGACTCTTGAGAGCTGCTCACTCTTGTTTGACGCTCACGCGTGGTAAAACACTTGCCTGAGATGCTCCTGTGGGGCATCACGTAAAGTAGGGGAACTCTTTATTGTGGGAGAATTGTGCACACACTTGTCAGACCTCTTGTGTAAGACACTCTTGTGGAGCACTGATGCAATATGGCAGACACTCTTGTAAGATCTTGTACTGTAAGACTTTGGTCCTGCATTGAATTTGCACCTACCACTCAGCCACTGACGAGCGTCAAGAGATTTCCAGGGGCGCAATTTGCAAGCAGGCACTCAAAAAGATCCACTTTGATGCATTTTCCAGAGGGCCTTCGCGCATGCCTGCACACACAAGCAGCCAGCAACGAGAATCCACATGGAAAAATCTTCCAGGTTAGCCTGCACACGCAATTCCTAATGGCACTGTGCGTTCCTAGGTGCTTTGCTTGAAGGTTGATCAGTCCATTAGCTGGAGGGGAAGGCCAACTGAGGACAAGCATGTGCATTTGCCAAGTTGGCCAAGTGATGTTCTTCAACAGGCTTGGCCTGCGATTGCGGCCGACCATCCATGTCAAACCCTAGCTTTGGCAATGAGAGAATAGAGATTTGCCGTTCCTAATTGTCGCACGGTATTGTGGGTGAAATCTCATGCTTCCATTTTTCCAAGCACTCCCGCGTGCACAATTGGGTTGTGACATGTTGTGACCTATTTATATATATATATAGTTTGATGACAGTTGTGGCCTGGGCTTCCTCTCGCCTTCAGCATAGGCCGATCTCAGGGAGAGGTCGAGTGAGAGAGGGAGGGTTGGAGGGACATACTGATATATTTGATTATGATTACAGTAATCTACTGTAAATTTAGATTTATACATATAGAGAGACATAGAAAGAGTCCAACGTTCCAGCACCTGTGAACTGGCCGGTAGCCGCCAATTGCACAGCGCAGCATCCACAATCTTCATGAGGCACTGCACCGGCAAAATGATTCGTGTTCCAAGCGTGGAGTTCCAAGTGCGAGCACACGACATACGTGACGTGCCTACCGTGTTTTGCATGTTTTGAACCCATTTGCCATTTGCTTGCATTCAAGAAGAATTCTCAGATGCTTGCTCCGTTGGCAGCATTGTTTTGGGCTTCGCACGATTGCTTGCGGACACTGACACAACATGTGGCGAGTAGGATTTCACCCTGCAAACCCTCAAGATTCTCAAGTGAGACTCTCAATGTTGCAGTATTCCCTGGAACCTACTCAAAAGGAATTACACCGCCATAATGCCATACACCCCAGATAGCAACTAACTAGCTCAAACATGCTGAAACGCAAGCACATAATGTTTTCCGCTTAGCCCAGCGAGCCCGTGAGACAAGTGGGGAGACATGTAAGGAGCCAAGTGGGAAGACAAGGCAGTAGCGGCAAACCAAAACGGCCATCACCCAGGCAGACAAGTGGGGAGACAAGGCGTTTCCGAAGCTTTCAACCAACATCTCAGTTTTAGGTAGCACTGATAGCATGCAGCTGCAGGATACTATTTGACTATCAGCAGGAGCATCTTCCATTTCACCCAGTATCGCCTTCCAGCTCCATCAGTACACCGGGAAAGTAAGCAAGACCATGTGCAGTTGAAAAGAATACGATGAAGAAGCAATAGGAATGCAACAAAGTACCAGAAAGACGGGATGTGTTCAAATATGTTCAAAACACTTTTAACAAGGCCCTGTCTTGAGCAATGGCTCCAAAAAGAGGGCGGTGGCGCCTTTTTCTGACCTAGCTTATGTGCAGCCTTTGTAGGCTTTCACTCAGCAACTGCTGCAGTACCGACCAACTGCCCGTAAAAGCGTGCCGCGTCCACATGCCGGGAAATCAAACACAAATATACAGTCAGCGCAACAAAAACGACCCAAAGATGTGACTAGCAGGATTTCAGTCAAAGCCAACTTTGAAAAAAAGCCTCGTTCAACTGCTGGACGATCAAACGCCTTCAAGCCACCAGGAAAACCTTTAGAAGTGCAAGAACAGAATCACATTTTTCAAAGCATGCACCAGCCAGAGCAGATTATATAACCAAACACGGAGAAAAAAATCACCTACAAATTCACCGCGCACTTCTGGCATAGCTGGGGCACAAGAACGCCGGACGTGCAAATTATCAAATTGTGTGACTTGTGTCGTGCTTCCAGCAGAACATTCATAGTGACAGACGCGCAAAGCATGGAGTTGTCGCCGGCAAGGAAAAGGACACTGCCCACCAGCTGGAAGAAGATGGCCCAGGGTGCACGCCCCTTAATATGGGTCCTCCTTTAAAGAAAAGGGTCCCTTTATCACTTGGGCAGAAACTGGGGAAAACATCAGCAAACCTTATATAAACACGAGACGACCCAAATTGAACATAAGACAAAGCCCGGTAGCAAAACCTGCTGTGAACGACGGTGTAAACCCACAGTAAATTAACAATATAACATCCAGTGGAAGCATAGGAAACAATAAACGTAGAGGGTTGGAGGGGACAGGGGAACCGAACCCGGGACCAGCTGGCAACGTTTCCGCGCAGGCAACTCTACAGAAAAGCAGATGGCACGGGGAATCGGGAGACCGTTTGGGAATGCCCCGAGTTCTATTGAGTAAAGAATGATGACAACCGATTCCATAACAGATTCATGGCAGGCTCATGGCCGATCAGGCGGTGCAGCCTGAAGGGTAGGGGTGGAACCGTCGTCCACACCAGACCCCATTCATCCCGCACATATCACACATAACATGCTTCCACATGACTTAGTGGGGTCGGCGGATTCAGCTCATGTGTTTCCTGCTGAGGAACTTGTCCGGCCTCATCATTCTGATTAATTTGGTCACCATTGGAATTGAAGCTGAGCTCTCTTTGCAACGAGGACGGGAGCATGGGCAATAGCCAATCGCAGGCAGCTTTGGTCAGGATTTTTTCTCGTTGATCCTTCTTGATTGACTTGAGGTTGGTTTGGTTTGTTCCTCAATTGCGCGCAGCCAGGAGCAGAGTTTGGACCTGATACCTGGCCTTTCGCAGTTGAGCGGGTATTTTTGGTCGTGTACTGCTTGGAGGACGCCTGCTTGCAACAATTTTAGTGCAGGTGTGCGGGGCGGCCCAGGAAAACCTATATTACCCAGAATGCTACCAACTGATGCCAATTGTTTTGTTGAGCTTTGGTGGTTACAAATCCCAAACGAAAAGAACAAGCTGTGTGTGTGTGTGTCACCCCCTGTGCCAAAGGGTTCACTGCCATCGTTACCGTCACCACCTTTTTCCAAAGCAGGGGCGTGTGACACTCTTCTCCTATCACACGCAACGAAGCTGTGGAGAAGAGTGGGAAGGGAAACTTGGCCAGTTTCCTGTACCTGCGACGCAACTGTTGATCAAGCCGTTCCACTTTCTGCTTTTTGTTTCATGGTGTTTCATGCTACCACCCCCAAACAGTTTTCTCAGCCACTTTCAGCAGCCGCGCGTTTTACAGCTTGTCACCGCAGTCAAGGGAAACAACCATTGTTCAAACACCTACAATTTCTCGGACTTTTCGCCATGCTGTTCCACCGCCATCCTTCCCATCGTGGTAACTGAGTTAACTGAATACAATTGTCAGAGTGTGTCCAATGTCCGGCCAAAGGTTTCAGTACGTTGGGCCGTTTCAGGGTGCCAACCAATAGGCCACAAATGATCTTAAAAATTTCTGTGGGGATTGTCACAACTAATGTGGTGCTATTGTTTTCAACACCTCTTCGGAGAAAAATCAAGGAACGTTACAGTTACAGCCCCAACGCACAGCCACGGTCATTCAAAACGAGTGGAAGTAAAGCATTGTAAACATAATCACGAAAGCCAGCCGATAGGCAAGGCTCAGGAGGCGATGTAAAGCGTTTTCTACCAGGGGTGGGAGTTCATGTCAATGATAGGAAAGAGGGGACGACGGGACGCGAAAAGAGGTTGGAACTCCTCCAGAAAAGGGAGATGTGCGCCTCTCATGGCCAGTGAAATAGTGTGAAAGGGAGGTGTGTGTCTCTTAAGACATTGTGTGACCTGTGGGGAAAAAGAATGCTGCGGGGAAGGTGGAAGACGGGCATAGTGTAGGAGGACGTGGTAGGAAATGAGTGTTCGCAAGAAATGCTAGAGATGCTTGGGGGTGCCCTTTTTTAATGGTGAAGACGCCTGTCGGCTATACGGAAAATGACACCCCATATGGGGTGCGAGTTCATGTGATGCTGTGGTCCGTTGAGGGCAGGAAAGAGAACAAAATGCAGCGGGCAAGCTTTGAATTGCTTGGGGGTGCCCTTTTTTAACGGTGAAGCGGTCTAGCTGCCGGACTCAAAAGGCCACCCCATATGGCATAAAAAAGTTCATGTGGACGAGACAGGTATAGTGGAGGAGGACGTGATAGGAAAAGAATGGAAAAGAGGGATTGCAAGAAACGATGTGACCCATTCATTGAGAACAGGGAGGGGGCTGAATGCAGCGGGCAAGCTTTGAGTTGCTTGGGGGTGCTTTTTTTATGGTGAAGAGGCCTGTTGACCAGACGCAAAAGGGCACCCCATATGGAGTGGGAGTTCATGTACAAAGTGGGCATAGCGGGGGAGGAGGTGATAGAAAAAGAGGTGGGGAGCTCTCCAGGGCTCTCGCATTCACCCCCAATAATCATATTTATATTTTTAACGCTGGCGGGCTTTCGTCCCCTCCCTTCTCAGGTATATTGGACCGAGAACGTGTGGCATGCCCAGATAGTGAAACATATTCACATGATGTTATGTTCAACAGGTGTGTTCGCCCTGAAATACCTCATTCATTCATGATACCACCTGCTGAACATAGTGTAGAAAAGCGCTCAACCTTTCCACCTCTGAAGGCTGCTATGCGGCTGGCTGCCCATGGCTTTTCATCTTTCAAAGACGGATGGTTCCTGATGGACGCACCTTTGACCTTGATTTGTTTGTGTTTGGTTGTGTTTAAATATATATAATATATATATGTGTGTTCATACACTCAATTTAACTTTGTTTACACAGCGCCAGTTGAAGCCCCGCCTAGACATTCGCAGTACCATTTACATCCATTTACACTAGCAAAATCACTTCCACGGGAACATTGCCGTAGACACACACACACACACACACACCAGGCAGGCCCTATACACCGATGCTACACCTACATTGATATTCCTCGGGTTTGATTTGAGCGGGGTTCACTGTTTGTTGAACTCGATGGTGAAGAGACCAAAGGATGATTAAAAACAGGAGGCATTGCTTGAGGGTGAGCCACAACGAGGCAATCCAACAGTGACTATTAGCGCGCGGCAGCTTATGAGGACTGCCATTGTTCCCCTCAATCAACCTGTGAATCCTACAATCAACCAGGAAATGCGTGCGAAACTCTTGGAGAATATTCTGCTAAAAGCTCCCAGTTTTTCCGACAGATGAGACACACAACAGCAACGACACGACACGATGCGTATGCCCGAAAGTGCTGTCGTTTGCAAATGCTGCTCTATGTTGGAGAGCATTTAGTCCAGCACTCCGCGTACCGTATACCAGTGTACTTTTTGACCGGGGGTTTGGTTGATAGCTCAGCATCCTGTAGCAAGTCATTTTATTTTGGTTCTGTCCTTGTGCGGCCCAGGTTGCCTTGGTGGTGATTGGTTTGCTGGCCCTTCTTGTGGCGCCCAGTCTTGGGGCAAACTCTATGGAAGGCGTTGAGAAGCTCCTGATCGTTCGGGGCCTACGGTTGTTGAGGCTAGTGAGAGCATTGAGGACCGCTCACTGTGCCTGGTTGGCGCTTTGCTGACGCCACTGCCCACGAAATAGTATGCACAATGGATGTAGAACCGAACTGCATGTTTGCTTCCTTAGGGTATGTTATGGTGTATACGTGCGTGCTCCAGTTGTTGACACCAGTCCTGATTACCAGTGCCCTAGAGGGATCTAGTGGGGTGATCCAATGCCATGGCAACCAGCTCAGATCAAGCAAGGGTTTTTTGTTTTCTTTGTTCTTCTGCAAGGGTCATGAGTCATGGTGATGTTTGGGCACTTTGGTTGTTTCTTGTGCGGGAAGCTGATAGTTCCCATGACTTGACATATCTGATGCTTCAGCATTCATTTATAGTTCTTGTTCTTCAAGTGGACTACGATCCCACATGCTTCGGAGGATGGTGAACCATTTCAAGATTATGTGGCGGCTTGTCTATGGCCTTCTTACAGCAGCAGAGACTATCCTGGCCACGAGCGGTTTGATACTGGTCTTCCTTTTTGTGTTTCCTGACATTGCTTGAATTTATTTGTGTGTTCATGTTCTTTTTATTGACGCCGCATGTATACACATATTCACACTGCAATGTGCCCCTCTAAGATTCCGTTCCGCAGATTGTGCTTGACTGATTCGATAGCGAATATTCTTCAAGTTTCGCCCACTATGAATTACTAAGGTGCTCCTGTGTCGCTATTGAGGTGATCGGAAAGGATGATGATCTAAAAAGACAGATGCCAGAGCTGATCGATGAATTCTTTGGCTCATTGTTCAAGTCAATCCTGACGCTCTTGCAGTTCGTGACGCTAGACTCCCTAGCCACCGTTTACTTGCCATTGTCTTTGGAGCGGCCAATCCTCCTGCTCTTCTTCATGCCGATGTTGATTTTCATATCTATTGGCCTTATGAACCTTATAACGGCAGCTCCTCGCTTTCATTTTAGTCATTTGTCATTTGTCCTTGTAAAGTTTATGTCCTGCTTTGCTGGCAGTCATGTTTTAAGCGACAACGCTTGCCCTTGCCACAGCATCCATGTTCAGACAAGGCCTTAGTGGAAAATGCTATGGAGCACGCTGCTCAACAGGCCGAAGAGGAAAAATTGCTCCTCAAGGGGAAAATAAGAGGTGCGCTGCCTTCCTTGCTGAAGATTTTTAACACCATTGACAAGGATGGCAGCGGCATGATCACCCGAGATGAGCTAGTCAATGTCCCTGTGGACATTCTGCCACCGAAAGTCCTTGCAGCCGTTTGTGTCGACAATTGGGAGGAGCTTTTCGAGTATTTGGACGTGGACGGCACACAAAGCTTAAGTCAGGTCGAGTTTGTGGAAGGCTTGCTAAATCTTTGCCTGTTGGACATGCCCATTGCCACCATACAGACCCTGAAGCTCTTGCAATTAATTAAGACCTCAGTGCGCTCGATTGAGTCGAAGCTCCACTCACTGAGAAATGTTCCAAAGTCATGAATCGAAATAAAAAAACAAAGAAACAGCTCCAGCCGATGGCTCATTATCCGAATTTGATGTTGTAATATGTTGTAATAGCGAAGGAAGAGCCCATTTTTTGTTACATCAGCTTGGCTGCCCCATCTCAACGTCTCACCAGTGAAAGTCTCAGCATGCCTTTGTGCTTGTGCCCATTTCGAAACAGAAATGGTATTCAGCACGCTGCAGGCTCATTTGGGAACTTTAGAGTAAGGATCGAAAAGGCCAAAGGTTACCATTCATTGATACTTGTTTAATCAAATACAGTATTCCTGAGCTCCCCAGCTCAGCATCAAAGACTTGCAGTTTTGGGCCACCTCAGCAGCCTGCAGTGCTGGCAAGTTTGTGTGCGCACAGGTGCGCACAAATGTTCAGCATTGAGCGTGTTCATTCACCACCTTTCGCATGTAGTTCCTGCTTCAAAGATAGCAAAAAGACAACTTCATCAATTATCGAGCTGTTGGGCAGATTCGATGTTCAGGATGCATCGGATGCATGGGTGATCATCGAGATGTTTAACAGAGCAGAGAGTGCGTCCGATCGCCTAGTAGCGACCTACTTAACAGCTACTAGCGACCTACTAAGCATACCCCTCTTACCATGTTTTACCATGTCCTACCCCTCTTGCTTACTTAGCATATCTTAGCACACTTGCAAGCTACCTACCGGCCTACCCGTTTTGACTAGTTGTAGAGTAACTATATACTATAACACCTTTTTTTTGATTGAGGTGATTTCACTGTTTCGATGCTGAGAAGAAATAGACCCCCCTAATTGGGTGCTCCGAAACTGAGAGCGAGTCGGGCAGGAGACGCCTGTGAACTTGTCCATTTCTGCTCCTTTGCAAGACATTGGAAGACATGTACGGCCCAGGTAATGAGGTCAGAGAATGACATGAACCGGTATATTATTCAGTTTGCATTCTGAATGCCAATCCAATTTTGTGTTCTAATGCAAGATTCTTTTTCGTTTGGCATAAGAATGGCAATGAACCAGTAGCCTGAAACGCAAAGAGAGGAGTTCAGTTGTGTGCCTGAGGCCTTGGTATTGGTATCCAACATAGTGGGTCTTTTCTTCTCCCTGGCTTTGCTCTTCTACCCCATGCATGCTGAATTACATGAGGCATGCTGCCGGGTTGCAAGACTATGAAATCAAGCGTGATGTACAGCAAGCTTGAGTGAGTGACTTGTGTTTGCTTGATGAATTTGTGCGCAACGCAAGTGTACAGCCTGACAGACTGAATGGACCATGCCGGGGATAGCATGGGCCTTGGCATCTTGCTTCGGAGGCAGGGCCAAGACCATCCCGGTGCTATCCCATTGCTTGCAGTATGCTAAGTGTGGGGTTGAAAAGCGCACCAGCAGCTGGCCATTTTGCCCATTTCGATGCTGCACAGGTGCTGCAATTGCTTATGCAGGCATTGGCTTATCCCGGAATTTAAGCGCTACGGGCGCATTGGTGGTCACTAATATCGAGACTGGAACGCATTGGAACCTGGCATGTAGAGTGGTTGGCTACTGATAAAGGAGACACTGCTTGAAGGTCGCTGTGCACTGGCTTTCTGTAAGGATAAGGTTTTGGTGCTTCTGTACGGCATTTTGATGCACCATGTCAGCAAGAGTTTGATTTCAAGTTTCCCTAAATTACCCTAAAGATCTAAAAAACCAATCATTAGTGCGAGCGTTATCCTGCGTCCATACTAGTAGCTAGCTACCTAGCTACTAGCTACTAGCTACCTAGCTACTACCTACCTGTACTAGCGGCCACCCTTCATTAAAAAGAAAACTTCACTACTTAATTTTCGAACATTGGATTCATCACGTGCCACTGTGGCCCCATGTGACTCCAAGGCTGGGCGACCGCTTCACCACTCCAAAGATAGTTGGTGGTACTCTGGCTTTGCTGGGAGGCTCACTGAATCACTGAGCTAAAGAACTCTACGCCGCTGCTTTGTTCCGAAAGGAATAGGCAGGTTTGCTATGGTTTGCTCATAGAACCTGTTGGATCATTTTGTGAGGGGAATGTGTCAAAGGAGGAAAGCTGGAAAGGTGAGAATCATGTCCGTGACTTGCACTGACCCTTCATGACCCTTCGCTTCTAACAAGCCAGCCTGTGATCTAACGGTGCAGATGGACAAGGCTTAAAAAGACAATGCTCCGCGAGAAGAACATAGAAGAAAAAGGTGCAGGGATTGCTGCATAAATACTTAGAACTACGGCATGCAGGTTCCTTAACATAGACATAATCAAAACCGAGCTCGAAAAACATGAAGACCATTGTCAAAAAGTTGATGAACGCGTGGTGGTGGCAGGCACTTGGCATGCGTGGTCACGCCTACGCACTGGAGAGGTGAAGAAGCAGGAATCCAAGGAGGCGAACGTAAAATACAAAGTCAGAAAAATAGGGTCCAACAACCTTTTAAGCTGTTTGCTTGACCTGTTTCGGATCCCAATTCTTTGATCATAGCGTGGGTATGCATATAGGTTTGCAGCACTCAATTGGCCCATTGTTGCTAGGTTTGGGATGGTTTCGGAGTTTCGGTTCGCTTCATGGGAAAGCATTTGAGCTCGTACTGCTGGTTCAAACTGTTCCAGGCTCAAACTGCTAGTAAATGCTGGTGATATCTAGTAACTAAACTTGGCTTGGCCAATGCAACTGTCTTTCCCAAGTGATGCCCTCCATGGTGTCCTGTGTTTCCCTCCAGCAGGTGCATTTAATGGCTTTCGTCGGAGATCAAGCTCAGCCATGATGGTGCCAAGTGGTTTGAAGTTTCTTTGTTTTGTGGCAGAAGCCCGCACTGTGCTATTTGGACATTAGAGTTTGGTCCGTTGGGCATCCCCGCTGTTTCCGAGAATCCCTCGAACAGCGACAAGCTGTAGTCATTGTAGAGCAATATTCTGAAGGACGTATGCACAAGCTGTGCGTCACGGGTTTCACCTTTTGCCACAAGTTGTGCCTAGGCCATTCAGGTCACATTTTGAGAATGGCGACGGGCAGCCGGCGGCAGCCGCTGTGCTGTTCCAAACTGCCTTTGCCTGTTCAATGTCGGCCACGAAGCCGTCCGTTCTGTTTTTGTACAGAGTGAGAGCTGAGGCCTTATCAGTTAATAAGGCCCGAGTCCTCAAAGGCTGGCCCAGCCCAACGCTTCTTGGAAGAAAAGAGTAACCTCACTATCGCTATATCATGTTATAACATGTTATAACTTATAACTATGATTAATTATGTATAATCTGGAGCCAGCAATCGGTCGGGCCGAAATAGTGGTGAGTCATCATTCCCAAGATCAGCAAGTGCAATTCACAAATTCTTTACTATATATATATAATACTAACTAATTGTCAACAAGCTACAAACCACCAACCGCTCATTGCAGAAGTTCAGCTTGCAATGCACTCTTGCAGGATCCCTACCGTGCAGCGCTGCAAAGAAAGGTTGCAGATGCTCTTGGGACGTAAAGACAGAAAGTTGGAAGAACTCCTTGCATAGGAGTTCATGCATTCCCACAAATGTCGGGCATTTGAGTCGTGAGTCATGGATACTACCGGCAGCTGCTGAAGTAATAGGATCCTGCTTGATCATTGCGTATGCTGCCCTGTTTCTTCGGTGATTGTGCCACAGTGCAGCCTCGTGACATTTGTAAGTGCACAATGCAGCTTGGAAAACTGCACATGTCATGATATCCAAGGATATCGTTCAACGTATTTCCGCATCTTTACGCAGAGGCCCGTGTTGAAAAAACGATAAAAGAACGGTACTAGTAGGATGTTTCTTAAGAAATGAAGGGCAACTTTTGTGCAGAATCTATTTACTGGCAGTGATCTAGGCAGGCACGCCATCGGTGCAAAGCCCTCACTCCACTGCAAGCCAGTTTTTGGCATGCAGGCACTTCAGTGCTTGGCTGTTTGTTATGTGACTTGTCATGTGGCAGGCGGATACAAACCTCAAGACTTGTTCAGCAGCCTGGCCAGCGTGAACACATGACTTGTGGGTTGGGAATGTTGCTTTGCCAACAAGGGGCATTGCTACGACTGCTGCAACCTTCTCAGAACATAAGTTCTATCACTTTGCAAGACTAAGGTAAGCTGGATGCAGACGGAAGTGGACAGCTATCTCGACAGGAGTTGGACTCCCAATGTGCCGTTTTTGGACATGATGCGACAAGTTGAAAAGGTGCAAATACGGTAGATGCTGTGCGACTGAGGCTGCTAAGCATCATCCTGCGTTTAGAGCCAGGCACGCCAATGCTAAGAGCACCTTGCTAAATTGACCAATGGATCCTCGAACAGACAGGCAGACAGGCAGACACATGATTCATTTGGTTGCCCATAGTACTCATGACTCATAAATGTATACTCATAAACTCATAATATATACATCTTTATGTGCGCTACAGATCCAGCTTGCAGGCTTTGTGCAAGGGTTTTCTTTTGGCTCGGGTTTGTTCCTTTCAAAGCTTGCCAGGCCTGTCTCCTGCAGAGCAAGAGGCAATTTTTCAGCGGTTTGATGCTGCCCAGCACCCAGTTTTCTTTGCACGTCTCTCAAACTCCTGCACACGCTGATGTTGGGTGAGGACGGAAGTGGGTGCGTTTCTTGGGCTGAGTTCTGGGAGACGATCCAAGGCACTGAGTACAGCAAGCACATGAGGGATCACGAGGGTATGCTTCTACTTTTGCCAGGTACTGTACACAAGGATGCCATCAACCACACACAAACTTGCGGACACGTCCACGTCACGCCCCTAAAAGTCCTTCCACATATATGGGTACTCTAGGGTAGGCAATGTACACCAAGACAAGTATACCACAACACATGCAAAATTGCCACAAGAAACGACGCGACCGGCATAATACACAGTCAATATTCAAGATCACTTGTGAATTATTGTGGGAAAACCGACATATCTATATAATTAGCCTACGAAAGCGAATGCAAGTCTTGCTCTAGGCGAATACATTTTTGTTACTCTCTGATAAAGATTATGGCGATTGACAGGTGTACTGTAGTATCATATTCAATTTCTGCACAAGTCAAGTTTGGGACGAACGGCGCTCGAACCTTCAGAGGATATACTTGTGCTGCATATGAGGCATAAGTTTTAAGCAACTCGCGAGCGAGTGTTGTTTGGGGTAGCGTCGGTCGTGCAGCAATTCCCTAATATCAACCTAAAGCATCCTAAAGCAGAGCCAATGGGTGGAAGTTTCAAGAAAGGACTTTAGGAAGTATTTGTTCGATCTTGTTCGCTCCTTTGCCTCTCAGTAGTCAGGAAAGCCGTTTGTGTTTCAAATTTGACTAAGAGCGGTCGGTAAGTGGTGCGGTCTGAGCCTTGAGCTGGCTAAATGGTGAGTCTTTGCATTGCAAATGCGCTGGCTTTTATGTTTCCAAATGTCCAGCTAAGCTCGCCAACGCAAAGTGTTGAGCTAGCCAAGTCCTGAGGTAGCACACTGCTCACATAAGTTGATAAAGCATGATACACTAAGTGGGGACTTGAGCTAGCTGGTAGTGTTGGTATGTCTTTGACTATTGCATTCCTTGTGTGTGTATGATTGTGTGTGTATGTATATAAATGCATATTATGTGTGTGTGTGATTTTTGCCCTAGCACCATTTTTGCTCCCTGTATGGGAGTTGATCTAAACGTGCGTGTAAGATGTTCTTTTAGATGCTGTCCAAACAGTCCGTGACAGATCCGCGATGAGGCCGCGAAAGATATGCAAATGATATGTTTGATATGTTCTGTCCGCGGGGAATTGCAATTCAATTCCATCATGAAAGAATTTGTTCAACCACTATCAATATATGCATCTACATATATACAGTAAAAGCTATGACTGATGCACACATGGACATGTTCCCACAACATGCAGCTCTATCACCACGCAAACGTGTTTGGCACCGCGTTTCGCGCATGATTGCTCTCTAGATGCTGATGATTAAATGAGCACTTCGCTCCACGTGTGTGTTTGCCTGAACTGCCTGTCTCGTCTAATTATAGATGTTTTCTAATCACACGCCCTGTCCAACTATTTTTTTTTTGGCCTCCGCAATTCGGACATGTTCTACTTCTCTTCACAAGTCAGAGCACCTTCATTGCATCAACATATGGAAAGCGGAGCATTCCTTCATGAGTAGGCATCTGAGTTCGGTAGCCCATGCTAGCCATAAATGTGGGCGCAATAACCTGAAAGGCGGTGCGCAGCCGGCACTGGCATCGACAGCTCCTACTATGTCGCTGACACCTCTAGCACCAGGCAGTGATTGCACAACGAATAGTTGCCTCATTTTGCGCCACAGATCGCCACAGCTAAAGGAGGATTCACAGGTTGAGCATCCAAAATATCGGCTTGAGAACCCGCCGGCGTCCACAGGTGCGCGTCTTGCGGCAACAGCTCCGGTTGGATACCTATTAGCATCTCTTAGCGGCCGGCCATTCTTAATGCATGTTCATATTCATGGATTCATGTGCTCATAGTCGAAGCCCATCAGGCATGCTAGTGGGAACAGACTAGAGTCTATAGAATATTACTCAAGTTGTCGTGCTTCAGGCTCAAACGCCAGTTGCTGTTCAAGCTGGTGGTTTTGATCAAACAATTCATCCTCAGGAGCGCTGAAACTGTGTCATACCCACATTCTTGCGTTGATACAAACAAAGTCCTGCATGGATGCAAGGAGCTTCAGCGACAACGCGCTCAAGCAGAGGACCGTTCTTCAAGCACAAAGGGGAGCTGCGAATTATTACACTGATATCACACAGGAGATTTGCAGGCTGTGCCCACTCACCAAGTGGCAGCTAGCAGAGCACAGCAGTGCAAAACAAGCAGGTATACTCGGTGTTGGGATTTGTGTCGCTGTCAGTGAGGGTGTGTGTGTGTGTACACACTTTGGAGCCAGAAGTAGTCTGCGGACATTTACTGTATACCTGGCCAGCCATTACTCGTTTTTGATTCTTTTGCCGGGAGCTTGAAGTCACCCTCAGCGAAGACACTTTAAATTTGCATATAATTATATAAATCTGCCGTGATTTTGCATTTCTGGCCTTTGCACCGGCTGTGAGTCTGTCACGCTCTCGTCGATCGATCGTTTCGTCACGTTTCGTCCATGTGCATTCCCGACTTTGAACGTGATTTGATTTCTTCAGTTATGTTTATTCGTGTGTTGAGCGCTTGGGGATGCTTTGGGATGCTATGGTTGGACACGGCTGCATGTCTACCCGACCTCTTGACTCTTGAGTCTCAGCCTTTTCTTTTACCAAGGTTTCTTTAGGGCCTGTGGCATTGAAGTCGTACGCGCACTAAGCTCTTGTGTGTGTGTGTCCGACCTGTGGTGCTTATGACTCCTGAAGGCGTCGAAGAGACGTAAGTGTTGTGGATGTCATTTGGTCAAAGTCGGGGCCGAGAGGGGCTGTTGTTGGAGTGCTTTTAATTAGAGTTTAATTCGATTCTAATTCTAATTAATCTATATTTATATACTTATTGTTTCTACTAGTTTCTTGTTACTAGTAGTACGGCTAGGAGCCCCTAGTAGCGTCCTTTTTTTCTTGGGGGAGTTGTTCGTCTTAGTCTTCCAACTTGAAACGCGCAAGTTTCACAATGCGCGCACTCAACGCTACGTAGTCACTAACTATTAGATGCTTTACAACTGCTTCTCCTCCATCGCTCCCACCGCTTGGGACTTTGCAGGAAATCCTGGCCCGAATAGCAGCGACCATCTCGCGGAGTGGCCGGAGGCTGGTTGCTGGAGCACTGCATTGCTGCATTCCCAATCCGCTCGTATCCACTTAATGGGAACGGTTGCAACTTGCAGGACAGCTTCCCACCAGCCGATTGAACAATAATGAACACTACAGCGTCCAAAAATTTTCAACACATGCCAAACATATCAGATATCATTCAACTAGGTAAAAAGAGTGTTTAAATGTAATTAATTCACTCACCCCAAAACATGTACAGTTTGGTATCAATTTGTTTGTTGAATGCTATAGGGGCATTGACCGCGTCAGGCAACACAAGAAGGCCCCAATCCTGTTTTTTGTTGGTTGGTGACATGTTTTTATCACTGTTGTCGGCAAAGTTGCCGATCAAGATCCCTCACAACAGCGTCAGCTGCAGATTTGTCTAATATTATATAGTTTTTTCAAACCCAGGTTTGTCACCAAAAGCAGGGCGAGTCTACAAAGCAACACAACCACCTCCCACCAAACACCGGTTGTGCGCAAAGGTTTGTCATAGCCTCGGCACGTTTATTTCTTATTGTTTTATGAATTGTGGCACGTCTATGTTCAATGAGTTGGCGGGCCAGCCACTTAGTACCTTCAGTCATGGTTTTCATCCCAGGCCGCAAGAGTTTCTTCGCGATGTCCGTGGAACGCTTACCCGGGGTGAGTTGCTAACTCAGATGACGTAATGTTGTGTTGTACTGGTACTAACGTTGCTTTAATGTTGAGTTTCCCGTTTTGGGGAGATAATTCTTTGGCACAAGGGTGGAGCAGACAATTTTTCGGTTTGAGCTGGGGCCCTAGCTTTAATGTTAAAGTTCAGCAGACATTAAAGCCTAAGAATTTGAATTGAGGCCCACCTTATCAGCCTACGAGCGAGATGCAATTATCATGCGCTTGGGGGCTGATGGCAGCTGGGCATGTACAGATTCATTGCATGTAGCACTCTACCGACGCAAATCCTATATTATGGGTCAATCCAGCAACTGACTACTGTGATCCAGACCTTGTGTGAGGATACGGCAACGTCAGTGCGGCAGAGTTTTGTCGAATTCTTGGAGGCAGGTGCTCAAACATAGTCGCGAAGGGCATGCACAAAACCCACTACAAAGCTAGGAGTTAGCTTGCCTCAGGCGATTTGTCGCAGGCAGCGGGCCAGGGAGCTGCTTGGTTGCAGTACAGAATTCCTCCAGCTCCTGACTGGTGAAGCAATTGCAGATGCTCAAACAAAAGGAAGCTGTCACTATGCCAAACAACACATGGGAAGCAGAGGAATCTGTTGTTGCATCCGTCAAGGTGCAACCTGTGGCCGAAGTGCCCGTCGGCATGGCTCCGCAGGATGGTTCGCGCAAGATGTGTCATGGTACGATGCTGCCATCATGACAATCCCTTTGTGCCGTTGCTTTTCTTTGTTTTTTCTTTATGAGTCAGTCATGAAAGGGATTTGAGCGATTCTTGTGACCTGATCATTGTCCATCTTATCTCAGGAGCTTTTGCGACAAGTGGCCACAGAACTCCGGCGCAGTGGAGCAGGGGTCCTGGCATAGAATCCACCACCGTGGTAGTATTGTTTGTTTGTTTGTTTGTTTGACTTCTTCTTGGTTGAGCTCTAAAATGACCTAAAGTGATTGTATATAAAGCCATAGCATTGCCATGTTGGCCAGGCGGCCAGAGTGTGAGACAAGCAAACCACACCAATTGGAGAGATTGGCTCATGCCACAAGAGCGGGCATAAGAAAAAGACTCCAGCCAGCACCAAGAAGAGTCGAAGATGTTAAAAGGAGCTTTGATCAAAGCAACACAAGCATCAAAGATCATCGAAGCACATAGCAGGATTACATAATGGATGTAAAGAGCATCAATTAGGGGTACATAATGAAACTCATCAAGCACATCAAAGAAGCTGCACCTTTGTAGTTCTTGTCATGGCGTCTTGGGATGTGTCAGCCGTGGGGCGCTGGCTTGAGACTGCAGGCTTTGAGGACCTGGTCTCTCGGTTTGAAAACGAACAGATTGACGGCGAAGTGCTCCACCGTTTGACTCTCGAAGAGTTGCAGCTGTTGAAGATACCTCTCGGCCGGGGCAAGAAGCTCCTCGATGCCGTCACCGAATTGAAGGCTCATCAGAGAATGTCTCAACCTCGATCGACATGGTCAGCTGGAGATGCCAAGCGCCTGCCTCCTTTGATTTCTCCGTCCTCAGACATGGCCAGTGCGTGTCTGTGTCAGGTGATTTTGCTGATGGGACCGCCGGGGACCGGAAAGTCGACACTTGGAAACAGACTGGCAGAGAAGATGGGGGGTGAGCATTTTGACCTTGGTGAGCACCTGCGGAGTGAAGGAAAGTCAGGACAGCCACAGACTATGCTTTTGAACTTCTTGGGGGCTGCAGTGGAGAAGGGAAAGAAGAGGGCTGCACTGGGTTTGGGTCCACATATGGCATTCATCAATGGTTTTCCAAGAATGATGGATGGCTTTGAATTTTGGGAAGAATTGGAAAAGGTGGTCAAGCCAAGCCTCGTCCTTGTTCTTGAAGCACCCGATGATGTGCTGAAAGCGCGAGTGATTGACAGAGCTCGGCCTGATGATCAGAAGAGTTTCGAGGAGAGGTTGACCTTTTACCGACGCCAAACTGATCCAGTCATAACTGCATTCCATGATACGGGGCGAACGCGGTTCATTGACGCGACAGGAAGCATCGAGTTTGTTGAGGCTTCTGCCATCTTCCATTTGCAAACAGCGGTCTTGTTTGCGTGCGGCCAGCCGGAGATCTATGGTAAAGTATGTGATGAAGTGGTGGACCTTGGTTTGCCCTACCAAGTCACCTGCCTTGATGTTGCAGAAGTGCTTGGAGATTCTCAGGTGGTGGTGGACAAGATTTTGAGTGTGGTCCGCGAAAGGCCCGGTTCAGTCATCCTTCTGAAAGGATTTCCAAGAACTCAGGAGGATTTGAAAGCATGGCGACTTGTGGAAGTGCTAATGGTACTTGACTTTGACTCTAAGATGGACTTCTCCGGCTACTTTACACGTGGGTTCAAAGATGCAGGACCTGCTACAAGAAACACTGTCAGCCAATTGATTCGGAGCTGCCAGCCTTTGCATGTAGCTGTGCCATTTGCTGCCACAGGGCTGCTGAGGAATTGGATGGATGCAGCAAGATATATTCAATGGTGGGACCCCAGCAAGTTTGAAAGCTTTCAACCTCAATATGCTGGGTATCTCAAGGACCAAGTGGCCAAGCACAAAGGCATGCCATCATTATATGTAAGGCCATCTGACAGCCCACCACTTGACGCATGGTTGTTTTGGCTGACACATCTTCTGCATGCAGGCTCATATGAAACGTATTGCGATAAAGTTTTGCACCGCATGGTTGGCCCCCTGCCTCCACCGGTGTCTTCCGGTCTGACAAAGACCCTGGAGCGCAAGAAGTTTGCAGCCGTCACAGGCAAAATGCTCTTGGATTCTGATGCCTTGGCAAGTGCTCCTTTGGCCTTTGTCGATGGCTTGGCCTCCTTGCACAATGCTGGCTTATTTCCCATGAGTGACCCGCGAGCTCTTTGCTTTGGTTCCTCCGAACCCGGCAGCATTGCCAATGAACTTATGCTTCTTTTGGCTCTATATTACCGGCGCTTTTTGATTGTCATGGGTGAGGCTGGCGAACACAGCAAGGCTGGGAGCACGGCTGGACAATGCTTTTGTTCGATGATTCATGTTGCTTGCACATTCCTGAACTCTTTTGTAGCAGCAATAGACCGCTCAGTTGCTATTCCAAAGGGAAGTTTGTTGCTTTGCGTTTTCATTTGGCTTGCCAATGAGACCGCCCTACACTTACAGTAATGTGGGGCAGTGACAGTTCTTTATGTTTAACAGCGGCCAACCTCACTTGACCTCATGAGAAATCCTAACGTGCCTAAATGACAGGTCATGTATTTCAATTTGTTCTCAGTATGAACAAAAAGGTTCAGGATCCTGAAAGGTTGCTTTTTTGTTCCTTTTTTCAACCCCATAGTGTGAAGGTTTTATATTTATGCTCCCTGGTTTGTTTAACAGCCATGCACAATGCCATGAAGCAAGGCGAGCAATATTTTTGTGGAAAAACTTTGAGCCACATTTAGTGATACAGAACTCCAGAACTACACGCCATGGGGGCGTGTTCGAAATCAGCATTTTTATGCTTAGATAATTATATAAAAATACAATAAAATACAATAAAAGTCACACACACATAAAAATTGTGTTTAAACAATAAAGAAACATCCAACAAACCTCGGGAAGCAAAACATACAATTCTCATGGACTCTTGGCAAGACCCCCCTTCCCCAACACTTCCGAGAATTGTTTTGTTTTTGTGTTTTTTTTTTTAAGCTTTTGTGTTTTTGGTTTTGCCAAGTGTTTGTTTGAATTTCTTAGTTTTTGTTTGAATGTTTTAAGACAATCTGTGCTGTTCCTATCTCGTTCAATTTCCAAGCAATTGAACCTAAGTCTCACCCAAAGTGATTTGTTCTTTCTTTTTACAATTGAAAGCGTTTGGGCCCAACACTCCCTTTGTCCTTGTCCAAATCTCTATGTAGAAGTCTGTGTGCATTGACTTCTGGTTGGTATCAGTGCTGTTGCATTTCCAAGCAGCTTGACACATGAAACTGTAATGAACATGTGGAAGTTGTAGCTGTGATTCATTCCTAATTCAATGTGTATATATATATATTCAATTTAAATTCAAGGTTTCCTTTAGATCTCTGGCAATGATGACTTCTATATTGAAAAACTTTATCTAAAGAAGCATTCATTTTAAAAGCTTTCCTCCTCTGGATCTTTGGACAAGTAGATTTCCCATATATGTGTGCTTTCTTTATCTTTGTAATATGTTTTCGCAGTATCCGCTATGGAGGGCAGGCTACCACTTAAGAATGTTACTGAAGTTTATGGAACACCAAAACACATGCGCAGTATAGATGTTATAGTATGTTATAGATGTTATAGTGCTGACAGGCTGGGCCTTCTGCCGAGATGGATTGGATTTGGCATGCTCACACTACCCACCCCGCTGTGTATGCTGATGATTGCCGACGTCTTTTTGGCCACGTGATTCCGCACATCCCGTGCAAACGCTCGGATGCTCCAGTTGGAGAAGAGAAAGACGAGGGACAGGCTGGGGTTTGCATGGCTTGTTGCTTGTTGCCAACGCAAAGCTGATGACCTTTCGTTCTGACTTGTTCCTCAGGTTGCGATGGGGCAGCTCAACAAACTAATGCGCAGCAAGCTTCAGGCACTCGCCACGAAAGAGAAGGCCAAATTAGAGAAGGCTACACTTTGGCCGTTTCGGGATAGCAAGCTTGGCGCAGAGGATGATATCATCACTTTGGGATGCTTTATTCCAGGCCACTTGGCAGTGCAATCTGGAGTGAGATCGTTCCATTTGCTTTGACCCCTTGATTTGCCTGGATTAAGTTGTTTAACATTTCATAACATTTGTTCAGGCAACGGCACAAAATAGAGAAAATGAGAGTTTTGGGGTCGTCTTTTATGAGTCTGTGTTGGAGAAATTGGCATACACCTTCTTGATTGCACACGAAAATGGCTCGACAAACATAAGCCAATGCAAGTAGCATTCCTTGCTTTACTGAAACCTTGCAAGGTGGTGATCGCGAGTGGTTGTCAGGCAAGATCCGCTCCGTTGATGCAAGCATCGGAGAAGCTTTGTCTCGCAGCCTCAAGGAGCCCTTGGCTTGGGAGTGCCCACTTTCCACTGCAGCGCTTCAAAGAGATCCCGACTTGGTGGAAGTGATTGTTCGCTTGCTCTCAGGTGAAACTTTGCTGGAGAAAGTCATGACAAGGGATACCAAGATTGCTGAGATTGAGCGCTTGCTGAGATCTACAGGCGGCGAGCGTGAGGATCTCAAATTCTTTGTTGATGGCGCTCAGCTTGCATCAACAGATACCATTGGAGAGACGGATGTGGTCAACGGTGCTGTCATCAACATGGTTCGAGTCAAGAAGCCCAAGCCGAAGCCAAAGCCAGTGGCGGTTGTGCGTGCCGTCAGTTCTGACTCAGATGATTGGAGATGCACGTGCTTCACAAACGCGTGCATATTCCACGTCCTGAAGTCTGGCCGTCAGGTAAGCACAAAGATGCAAGATTTGCAGGAGGGAGATCTAGTACACACAGGTTCGACCGAGCTGGAAAATCGCTTCCGAAGGGTGACACGCATTTGGCGCTGCCCAGTGCCAAAGCACAAAGCCTTCACAGTGGAGTTACGGCCTGGCTGCCGTTTGACTACGGGGCATCCGGTGCAAGTGGCTGGACATTGGCGCCGGCCGGAGTCGTGTGGAAAGGTCGAGGAGACACAGGAGCCGTTTGTGTACACTCTTGAGCTAGAAGGGCATGTGGATACTGTGCTCGTGGGCCGAGATGAGAAGAAAGCAATGATGTGTGCAGCCTTGGGTGTGTATTGTGGTGAGAGTTTTGGGTGGAACTTGTTCACTAGAAAAACCAGACCTTGTGACAGCTTATCATGCAAAAAGTGTGAAGTGGCTGTCGTGCCAAGCCTCAACTTTGCCACAGTGACACCGGACATGCTCGAAGTCAAGTACGCGCCATACTGAGACAATGGCAGGGATTGAGCCACAGAATCCCGCCGGCCGGACCTCACATGTATGAGTGACGAAGTTGCACAATGATTCGGCAAGACCATTTGCACTTTGTTTGTAGCATGCTGCAAGTGGCACTGTGAAATGGCATGAGAGCTGAAGATGCCTGCCACTCACAGTGAATTAAGGAGTGCACTATTCTGATCACGGTTTTTGGTGGTCTATTCAGACATGGCAAATTTGAAGATAAAATGACTCGCAATTTGGAGGGCGATGGGGGCCTGGTTGTGGGCACTATAAGTACGTAGACATACAGAGATGTATACTCAGTTGTTGGTGCTTCTCCTCAATGACGGCGGTTGAAGACGATGAGTCCAGCTGAACAGGCATGACTGCAGTCAGTTTTATGATTTTTTCTCGGAGGGAAGATCAAGTACAGTAATCAGTTTTCCTGTACAGTTGTACATGGTACCCCACTCAAGAATATGGCCTGATTAACCCAACATTGAATCGGCCCAATTTTTTAGCCACAGGACCTTACCTGAAAGCGACTTTAGACTTCAGGCTTTAGCATGTTCATGCAGTGGCCTCATGCGACGCGATGGGCTGTTGTGCAACGGCACAAATGCCCGAAGAAGTACTACCAGGAGATCCGCTTAGAGCCTCTAGTATTTTCTACCTACAGCGCCTTGGTGACATACTGGAGGCGCAGCATGTCAGTGACACAGAAGGCAGTTGGTAATACAAGGCAAGTCATTTACGGATGCTGTGGCAAGGAATTGCATTAATTATGTTCATGCTTTCAAAAAATCAAAGCAAGTCCTTTGCAGCCCTTTGGAAGGCAATGAAACACGTTGCAATAATTCATTGCAATATTGCTGCATGCCTTGAAGATTCTTCCAATCTACGTCAAAGGACGGACTTCTGCAGGGAAGTGAAGTCGATCGGGAAAACGCTGCATTGTCCAATCTATGAATTGGACGAGCCATTGATTCGGGCCAAAGGCGCCAAGCAAATTTGTCCGAGGTCGGGAATCCCAGGTTGTCATGACTACTTTGGCCTTGAACTATATAGGGGTTATTGTCCACTTCTATTTTATATATATAGTCATTGTTAAGTTTGATCACTGAGTGGCTGAATGATGTGCTTGGTTGTCAGATGGGATGCAAAGTTCTCGTAAGATCTGTAAGGGCAGAAGAAAATAACTAGATATAATGTATAATAATTTAGATTTTTGCAAATAACAATTCACCTTTGCGGGATAATCCTCATATTCCTGCAAAATCAGTGTCCAAAAAAGTTATCCCAGTATTGGCATCTTGTTTCAGAGATTGAAGGTCGGCCAAGACAGACTCGACGAAGCAGTCGTTAAAAAATCAAACCATCATGGTCCATTGTGACAATCGTGACAATAGTAATAAGGGCATCGCTACTAGTAAGAAGGGCATTACTACTAGTAGCAAAGAAGCTACTAGTGACAAGGGCATCGCTACTAGGAACAAAGACGCTACTAGGGGATTCTGGCATTACTACTAGTAACAAGAAGCTACTCGTCTAGGAGCAAAGGGCATCGCTACTAGTATTGTTGCGGTGGAGATCAGCATCCCTCACATCTGAGGGACGGGCGTGAAGGGGCGGCCTTCGTGGATACACTGAGCGGCATCGAGCCCATGGTGCATCAGATGTGTCCAATTCAGCCTTGCTACTAGTAGCGATGCACCTGTTCCTAATAGCGATGCACTTGTTGCTACTGGCTTCTTGCTGCTAGTTTGTTGATCACGCTAGACATATGAATCATTTGAGACAATCTTTGTGCAGCTTGAATCCCTTTGCAGCGATTCACGTCCATGACACCACCCAGGACCATGTCGGACGAGCTAGCCACATGCTGTCCTACACTTGGGGCTACACAGTTGATTGCATTTCTGCTTCCTTGAGCGCTTGGTGTCACCAACATGAGCACCAGCCTGCACGTACCTACGCTGCGGCCCCAGTCAGTGAACTCTTGAAGGAGCTGTGTTTGGCATGCTACTTCAACGGCTATGAGGACCTTGTGCCAGTTTGTGCTTCGAGTTTGGCTGGCAATGGAACCATGTGTATGTATCTAACGCACTGGAACTGGATTTCGAACTGAAAAACAAATAACTTACTTCTCAGCGGAAATGAACCAACACTCACTCACTCCCTCCCTCACTCACTCACTCTCTCTCTCTCTCTTTCTCTTTTTGCAAGGCTGGCAAAGCAATTGCTTCCATCTCCCTAGTCGAGTTGAGACCTTTCATTCACCTCCCCTGGCACTTTAGTACTTGGTACGAAGTACGCATTCCAGAGTGGAGCAGTCGGAGGGCAAAGCAATGATGCAAATATTGCTGCTTTAGCCGTGCAGATCCGCAGGTTGCGCCATAAACATGCTGAAAGTGTGGGTGTCCTTTTGAGTCCTTTGGGTCGGAAAAACATTGAAAGGGACACCCACAAAAGCATCAAGATAATGCAAACAAAAAGGCCAAAGCAGCATCAGTGGCACCACTGCGTTTTTGCGGTGGAGAAGTTGAAGCATGAACCGTCCAACTCCCGGATCATGCTTCACTTTGTGCGTCCTTGTGCCTGATGACTGCATACTGTACTACTTTGGACCGCTTTGGCAGCAGAGAACTAAGAGTGATTATATATATATATATAACACTATACTGTATATATATATATATAAGTGTTTACCGTTTTCTGGCAGCTTGTCAGATGGGTTGTGGTGATGTGGGGGCTATGACAAGAGATTTGTTACGTTCATGCCACCCCACCATATTTGTGATATCTCCTGCTGAGCTACCGCGTGGAACTGATCCTAAACTCGGAAGATGTTGCTCCGATTTGTGCAGTTTTACAGGGCCAAAGAGTGCCAGCAGCAGCCAAACAAAGGATATGGCATTGGAACAAAAGGGCGCAAACCAGCTCAGGTGTGGACCTGCTTCATGGGCATCAACCAACACAGAGTCCAGGAGGGATGTTTTCCACTGTTGCAGGTGTATGTTCAGTTTGTATCGGCACAGAGCTTGAAGTTCAAAGGCATGGATTGAGACCATGACCCATGAGCTTGGCATGATTCCAACCAATTAACCAATTGAACATTTCAATAGCTTTTATGTGTTCTGCTCGGAAACAGTGCAAAGGAGAGCCGAGCACTTGGGGTGAGCGTTCCTTTTGATGACTTCGCCACTGAGTTTGGGAGCAGGATTGCTCAAATTGGACCCTGGGAACAATTCAGTTCGCATGTGATTTTAGATTCTATATCAATTGTCGCATGTTTATCCACCACCACTTGGCACTTGGTCCTTTTTGTTTGCTTTTTAATGGAAGCTTTGCTATGTTTGCACCCTCGCTGAATGAACGTCGACTTCAGTTAGGTTTGCCCTTTTAGTTCATGATAGTGTCATTTACGTGAGTTGGCTTGCTTTCGACGAAGGCAGCCACAGAATGCCACATGTGAATACCAAAACATACAAAAAACATCAAAAACCTTTCATATGTGTTGTTTCTGGGAGTTCTTATTTGGGCGGCATTTGTGGGAGGTCATGTGATTGCTTTAATGGAGCCGTGGCGCGCACCAAAATACTGTCGCCGGGCCTGGTGTGTTTTTGAGCTTCATACAGCGCTTGAGGCCCGAGACTTGCGACAGAAGTGCAGAGACACTCGTTCCACAAGAAGAGAACCTGTTTTGCCAGGCTGGAAAGTTGGACATTGTCATGCCTCCTGCAGAGGTGTGAGTTCGGTGTGAGCAAAAAGATGCAAGAAGTATGAAAAGAGTCCACTGGCTTCTTGAATTTGCTCACTCAAGGTCCTAGGATTTGCCAAAGCTGTTTATGATGGAGTCGGCTTGCAGGACACCCGAGTTTGGTTGTTTACCATTTGTCAAAGATTTTGGTCATTACGTGGCAGCTGTTTAGAATTGTTACAGGAACAGTGGCGAACTTTGTCCGAGACGAAGCTGCAACAGGCTACGTTTTCATTGTCGTAGTTTCAGGTATTGACTAGGGTTATTGGAGACCCCAAACAGCAATACACGGACTCAGATTGTTTGTTGTTGCGACGAATCACAGCCTCGCTTGAAGGCAGAGGCCTCTGTGCCGTTAGACAGAGATAACATTTTCAGCATGGTGGAGAGGGGTTGTGGCTTCACTCAGCTTAACAGATCCTTGTTTGCAGATGTTTGCAGAGAATATCCAAATTGTCATTAAACTTCATGCTCTGCTCCCCAAGAACGTACTGTGAATTGAGTACTGGTTCAAGATCAAGGAACAACAGTTTACTGAGCCCGTGTGCCAGCATGTGCAAGCTGATTGAGGCAACGTTGTGTTGCAGCTCCAAAAATGGTTTGCTGATGTGGCCTACAACCATGTCAAAGACCGGATGTCACAAAAGCCCTCAGCGGACATCGTCCACGGATGTTTGCGTGCGGCGAGGCAGCACGAAGGACACGTCATGAGTCATGACAAGTATACAATGACATGTACTGAATGTAATGACTCCAGTTTCCTTGTCATAGTCATATTGTTTAAGGTTCTCTTCAAAATGCAGGGCATCGGACATCAAAAGAAGTTAGCTTGAATTGAGGTGGCCGAACTTTTTCGATCTTTGGGCAGACTGGACAGAGCCGACAGCTTGCTCGTGCGGCTCAGCACCAAACAGACCGATCTAGCGAGTGGGGTCGAGTTGTAGCAGTGTTTGGCTTTGGTGTCCCGATACTTCAACTCCTTGGCTTTGAATGTGATGAGAGAATGCTAGATACGTAGAAATGTACTCAGAAGCCGGAGTGTCCAGGTCCGCTTTGGAGATTCTTGGAAAAGTCGACCATTTGCACACACCGTTGCACGCTTCTGTATTGAGCTCCATGGGCCATGTCAAGCGTGATGCTTGTTTGAATCGAAATCGGAAAGGCGCCAACCCAAGTTTGTTTTGTGAAGGCTATCGCTACGGGAGTGAAGATTTGCCTGGGTATAATTCAACTCAAGTGTTTGCTAGTGTAAAGATCAACACACTGCTTTTGATTAAAGGTGTTAGTCCTTGTGTTCCGCTGTCCTGCGTTTCCTTGAAAGATGTGTTTCCTTTGCTTTCGCAATCTAATTTAGTTCCTGTGCAGCTTATATACATCTAGCCCAATTGCGCCATCTAGCCCAATTGCGCCATCTAGCCCAATTGCGCCTTTGACTTGGAAATGGTCCACGCTATTCTGCGGGATTGCTTTTGCTCACATAGCTTGCTTGAGAATCATAATTATTGCTCAAATCCTGTTGGAGTTTCCTGTGCTTTGGATAACTTTGAGTTTGCGACAAATTGTGAAACAAACCGCGACCTGAGGAGCGGGGGGACTTGGAGGGTGCCTTAGCATTGCTTTTGGATGGCCACGCTATCTTGCAGCGTGGCTCCTTGACATGCGAGGAAGGTGCTTTGCTCCTGACCCGGCTGGGCCGCTAGCACAAGTTTAGTGGTGAGATGTTGTCAGAAATGGACATGACCACTTGATCAACCAGTTCAGTGGACGTTTTGCTTTTCTATTGGTTGAGTATTGGCTCTAGGTGTCGATGCAGCATAAATAGCCGTCGTGAGGTCACGTAAAATTGCAGCAGCAAGATTTAGAAGCTGCAGATTGCTATTTTAGAGAGGCTCGAAGGGGGGGGGGGCTAGCTAGGGGGGTTGCCCAGTTGCATGGTGCAACTGCGCCCTGTTTGTAGAGCACTACTGTACTACTACACCCAGTTTCACTGTGTAAGGCCATGCAAGGCCACTACCTTTTCAATGAACATTAATGACACACAGCCATCTACCGATGCCCCCAAAACAGGACGGCAGCACAGCTTGTTTGAAGGTGTATGCATTCCAGATTGCCGTTGGGTAGGCCCTGGGCAAGTGTGACAAAGCTTCCTTTAGGCACTCCAAGCTCATGAATCCTGCCAAAGCTTGTGGAGTTTTGATGGTGCGCAACTGCTGCAGCCACTCAGAAAGGAACAAGAGGTTTCCAGGGTTTCAACTTGTCAAGTGTATGGGTGAGACCGTGTGCTACATGGTGATGTTGCCATGGGCAGCGGCTATGCAAGCCAAGGTCCTTGGGGCATGTCCAACGGGAGCGGAAAGACTTCAAGGGCGCCTTTTCAAGTTATGGGCAGGCAGGCCAAGAGATAGGAGACGCGTATATACGTGGCAAGTTCAACCTGTGGCAATTCATGGCAATTCTATCCTTTGAGTGCTGCCTCCTTGTCATCAATCATCATCCATTTTCGCCAGGCTCAAGAAGTTCTTCGTGGTTGCGAACTCCTTGAATCACCTGCTGGAGCTGCATTGGTCGCCAGCATGGGGCATTTGCAACGAGAGCAAGGCAATCTGGAAGGACAGAGCTGTGAAAGCAGGTTTGATGGGGCGAAAGAAGAACTGAACTTTTGTTGGAGACACAGGCTTCGGAGCAATGAAGTTCTGCTTGAGCAGGAGCTATGGGGATGTATGTAGAGTCGCGACGCCTTTTAGCATCTTGGAGAGAGGGCTGCGGGAGGGTCATAACACCAAGTCGCACCAAGCGCGTGTTTGTTCAAATTGTTTGGAATGACGTATTGTTTGGCAAGTGATCTTCCTGAATCAAGACTTTGCACGCTTCTGAGCTGCATAACCGACTAGTGAGGAATCAACTGGGAGCCTACAGACATCAAACGGTGCGGCGCTATTGGTGAATATTGGGCATGTACAGCGCTCTCTAGGTGATCCAGATGCAGCGTTGGTCACATACAAAGAGGCCCGTGACTTGTTCAAGGCATCTGCATCTTGGGACAGTCCAGCGGGAGTAGAATGTAGGCGCCTCATTGGAATGCTCTCCGCTTGATTTTATGCCAGACTTCGTCAGATGTTCAGAAGGCACAGCAGAAATATTTTTAAGCATGCCCAGACCGTTCAAAGACAATCAAAGACATTGTTTTGGACTCAAATCGCTCCAGGTTTCACTCGCCTTCGGGATGTTATGAGCCAAGCTCGGGACATCTAAAGGCATGTTGAATAGTTCTCGTGGAAGATGGGTCACCAAGGCCCCAAAGATTGACGCAACATGACGCAACAAAATTTAGGGCAAAAGTGTCCGAACATGATCCGTCGCTTTCTAGCCAAGATGACATGACACAAGACAGATCAGGAGGCGAGCCATGACTAGCCGCTAGCGCTTGACCATCCAAGGTGGAGGCGGCGACACTTTTCCGAAGCTTAGACGTGAGCGGTGCGCACCCCGCTCTTCAGGAGGACAGGGTCAAGTGCCAATAATAACGATGAGGATGTATACACAGTAGTATATACAGTATATCAGTATATCATATCTATCATTATCTATCATTGACGTGTCTTTTTGATCCATCCGGCAAAACGGTTGCTCGATCAGTGGAGGTTGTTTCTTTTTTTGCCAACTGAACCGCTTGGCTACAGTCCTAGGTCCTTAGACCTGACTGTGACGAGAAACGCTTGTCAAGTGCGCCCTCCCAGACAGGATTGAAGGCCATCAGTTTGAGTGGACAATTCACGCGCAGAATACTACGTATTGGCAGTGTGGTCCCATGCCCAAAAACACAATAGGCAACACACAACGACAACTCACTACATAACCAGGAAACAAAGCAACCACCTCACAAGACTTAATTAAGATACTCAGAACATTCCAGGACAAAGGAAGGACTTGACACGCTATGTTGGTTGGATATTTGCAGATGTGACACGTATACCAATTTGTGAACACATGCCGTTCACTAGCCTTCGGGTTGGGTGATGCCCTGGGCAGCCCTTACCTTCCCACTGGTGATTGCTTGCGACTTAGAGTGCGGAAGCAAGTGCCAAGCGTGCTGCATGAATTTTGCCCAACAAGATCACCAAGTGCTTAGAACACAGAGGCATCGCTTTTCTCACTTTTGTAACACTATGCGTTTGGAGCTGAGGTTTGTCTGGCATCTCTTCACATTTGCCTTTTCACTGCATGGTATTCCAGCTTCAGGGGCTTTTTCACGCGTACGGAGAATGTGCACTTGCAGGACGCTGGACAAGCTCAAAATGAAGATTGAAGGATGCTAAGCTGCCAAACTTGATGGCATTTGATGCGAATCGTGTGCAGGACATCCAGCTTGCCATCAAAGTTGCAGAAGCTGCTGCCTTACATGTGTTTTTTAAACATTGTCACATTTATATACTGCAGATTTTGCTGATTTGTCCCAACATCAAGAGGTTTGCCCAATCCCCAGAGCCAGAGGGATTGAATCGCACAATTTTTTCTTGACCCAATCATCTTTTTGAAAGTCTAAGCATTTCATTTCACTTCAGCGTGTCATTCATCTCATTTTGTCACACCTCACCCTTGTTGGACGTTACTGCACGTTTCCCCGCGTATGGTATCATGGTTCATTCATCTTGTCATATCTCACCAACAGACTTCCCGAGCAGGTTTCGTTTTGATCTACTCTGCATAGCTCATATTATTGCAATCATGTGAGAATCTCAATGCTACTTATAAACTTACTGTATATATATACATAAACAATATTCAACCTCATGTGATCCCTCTCCACTCATCGTATGCAATGTTAGTTTGCCTCACGCCTCGCAACTGTCATTGCTGTGGTTCTCGGTGCTTCTACCTTATGCTACGCCTTTTTATCAACCCCCAGCCCTTACCACAAGTAGAAAAGCGATATTGTATGATATTGCTGTGTTTCCTGAAGATTCTCAAATTTAATCTTGCTAATCAGCATTCCGCTCAACACAGGGTGGAAGGCTGTCTCCTGGTGAAACAGAGTTGCCCACCGAGACAGATGGCAAGGACACGCCGGATTGACAGCCTAGGGTACCCTTGGATCGAAAATAAGAGGAGCATAAAGCCTGAAGAGAGAACATGAGAGAACGCCGAAGTAGTTCACTATATGGAGACACTATGTTCGGTCAAGCAATTGGGAATGATTGAGTTGATTTCAATATCATTCGACGCACTTGAGCAGACGATGAGACTAGACCAGCTCGTTTTTGGCGTTGTTGTTTTGTGAGCAAATGCCTCTATGTAACAGAAAAGGTGCTTGTAACAGCTCATCTACTGCAATTGCGCAGCAAAAGCATTACCAGTGCCACAGTCTGAGGAGTGCAAATTGCTTGCCCTTACTTTAGTGCGCAGGAAAAGCGAGTTGCCTTGCTATTTATGTTGCGGACGCACTTGGTGGAGATAGATGCATGGCGAAGGCATGCCAGTGCTGCGCTTTGTTGAACATGTTTCAATAAATTGTGCAGTGGCACTGCTGGTCCCGAAATAGTTGGCAGCTGTTTGGTTCATGCTACTATCGCATGTGATTGTCCATGGTGAATGTGCTATACTGATACAATAAGTGCTGTTGTGATTATGCTGGCTGCGATTTGCAATGCTAAATCATGTAAGCCGGTGTTTGTTGTCTCCGCTAGTGAATGTCTTGGGGTCCAAGACAGCCGGAGAAAGAAGAGAGTGAGAGAGAGAGAGAGAGATAGCGCCTCACAGTCAGATTTGAGCGGTACCATCACTACCATCAACTCTACTGTGGCACCTCGGTATGTGCAAGGGGTCAGAAGCAACATTCCCACAACAATTGAGATCACGTCGGAACATCCTTGCAGAGAGATCAAATGACAAGTCATGATAATTCTTCGTTTGCGACAACATTGAATGACATGAGAAGACAGTTGTTGATATAGTGTTGTGACAGGACGATATGATGGTAACAAGAAGCCACTAGGAGCAAAGGGCATCGCTACTAGGAGCAAGGACGCTACTAGGGGCTCCTGGCCATACTACTTGTAACAAGAACGCGACTAGGAACAAGGGCATCGCCATGGTACGCCACAGGGGGCCACCAAATTGATACTTTGCGGCCACAGATGGCTCCAACTAATTTTAAAACTGGTGATGGTTGCTGGCTGGAACTGTTTGCTTTTGTTAGGTTGATACAGCGAAGTTCTACATCCTTGCCATGTCATTTCTATGACGTCGGTATTGAAAGAAGGTACTAAGACTACTACTGCCATAACTCCGGCAGCTGGGCTGCTACTGCTGTGGCTGTAGACTGTTTGTTGCTTCACAGTGGCACAGGAACCAGCTGCTGCGACTGAATCACAATGCAGCTTTAACTGAGTACCTTCACTTACATTCTCACCGACCTTGTGAAGGTGTTGATCATTATTGTTTCTATTTGTTGGCTCCTAGTAACTATGTAACAAGGTCAGGGCATTAAAAACTACTAGTAACAAGATACTAGTAGCAAGTGCATCGCTACGCGTTACTACTAGGAAGGTGTTAATCACGAACGGTCCCCCTCACTGAGATACCTTGAGTTTGTTTTGCGAAGCAAGTGTGGGCTCCTCCGGGTCTAATAATTGATAATTAAGGAATTCAACCCCTCTGCTTGGAATTGATGTTTCAATCCAACCCCCCCTTGGAATTGATCTTTCAATACAGACCCCCCCTCCCTCACCCCTTCGTCCCGAAGTGGATCTTATTTGGAGCAGGTCATTTGGTATACGAGAACATCAGCAACGCGAACCGCGAGTCAACAAATTCTCGGATCGAATCAACGGCTCAGATTTGCATTCGCGCAGCGCATCCGCTGCTACTGCTCAGATCTGGATTTGCTGGCGCAGCGCGTCGGATGTAGATCTGAAACCACGTTTTACACCAACCACTGTTGACGCCAAACCACGTTTTACACCAACCACCGTTTAAGCCCCTGCGCGGTCGTTTTACACCAACCACCGTTGACGCCAAACCACGTTTTACACGAACCGCCGTTAGCGCCGTTGACACGAAGCCACTGTTGACACCAACCACCGTGTACACCACACCACGTTTTACCCCAACCACCGTTTACACCAAACCACGGCTTACACTAACCACCGTTTTCACCAAACCGCGGCTTACACCAACCACCGTTTACACCAAACCGCTTGGAATTGATATTTCACTCTTAACCCCCCCGCGTCGTCCCGAAGTGGATCCAAATCATCGGATGAACAAACTTCTCTTAGGATGCAAGTGTACGCGCCCTGTGGTTTACCCCCTGCACCTTCCAGCTTTCCTACCTTTCGTTAATGTGCGGCAGTTGAAATCCTCGGCGCTCCGCTCCTGCCTCACCACTGGGCAACACATTTTGACAGGTGGCTTCAGCAGGATCAAGACAGCGCAGACCTAAGATTGGGCATTGAATCGCATTGAGTTTACTGTATATTACTTGCTTTGAGAAGCATGCCTTTTTGAACGCGATATGCTCATCTTGTGGGAGACTCTGTGGCCCACGTAGCTAAGGCATGGGTCGGCAGCCTCCTGTCTCCATGTTTTTCCATTTGGCAGACGGCTTGGAAGCAGCAGGTCTGGCAGTCTTCACAAATGCCGGTCTCCATTTCCTCACTTGTCCGGAAACGCAAAAACACTTCTGGAACAGGTTCAGAAGTTGTGGCAGCCCTTGATGCCCTTCCCGGTGCTCACATCATTAGCACTGCAGGGGATCCTAAAGTGGGCTTTTCATTGCACCTTAATGAAGTATTTACCTCTCAAGACCGTTCAAATTGAATACGTGACCAGAGTCAGTAGAAAGGTTTAGAGTCTAGTCAGTAGACGGAAGACTCCATGGCATCGGTGGTGTCCTCCACCAGCGGAAAGCTCTTCTCCTTATGTTTTATGTAGGAACAAATCTGCCCAACACCTTGCAAGTAACTAAAAGCAAGCCTTGCTTTTAGCAAGGTGTTGTGGCTGCAAGGCCAGGTGCCAACCGAAATTGTTTCACCGCCCAACTTCACGTAGTAGCAGTGCATACACTCAGGGAGGAAGGCTCCGCACAGAGTCAC